TGAAGAGAAAGATTCGTGTCATGGTCAGCCAACTTTTCTTCAAACGAGCCGTTCGAGAGATGTTTGGCTGCTCGCCACGAGTTTGTGTTACTTTGCGGAAAAATCTGTTGTGGGGCCGATCCCAAACATGTACTGTGGGATCTCATGCTTCTACAACTCTCCACCAAGGTACATGTACGGAATGTAATTTGTGCTACGTTCCTTCCATCAGCGCTCTGCTCTCTATCACAATGTAACTCTAGCTCGTTCTACTACTGCATGTAGCCCCAGTTTGTCCACCCCCCAAGTAAAACTCGTGAGACTGAATGCCTTACCATCTGAAGTACTCTAATAAAATGTTCTTCTAGCTGAGGGAGGAGCTGGTGGCCAAAGAAGCGGAACAAAAAAGGCCACTTTCAGGCATCTTCGCCCCAAAAGGACGCTTCTCAGACAAAAGAGCAAGACAAGTGTGAACGTGATAGGGGGGTTTTAGAGTAGGGAAATTATCTACGGAAGTGTGGACGTTAGATTTCACAGATGGACACCAGACACTTCTAAAACTACACAGAACAACACAAAGCATGCTAATGAACCGAGAGGTAATTGATGAATGCATAAGAGGATTGACTGACTGATTAGTTGAGTAGTGTACAGTACTGTTGTAACCATGGCATCATCGGCAAAGGTTGGGTGGCAAAAAGAGCGGGAAGCCAAGCAAAAGCAGAAAGAATGGGAGTCTCAACAAAATGCCGAGCACAAAGACTGGCAACAGAAACGTGCCGACATGATGAAGAAGAAGGAAGCCGCCGAGACCAAAGCCAAAGAAGCCGAAGCAAGTGCTCCTGAATTCCTCAAGAAATTGGGAAATATGAAGGAAAAGGCGCAAAACAAGCCTCCACCCAAAAAGGAAGACGAAGGGCCGACGATTGAAGAACTGGATGATGGCACCGACATTCCACCGTGGCATCGACCCAATGCCCCCGAAAAACCAGAATGGGTCGTACTGCTCTTGCTCGCCGCCGAAAAGGAAGCACAAGAAGAAGAGGAGAAGACGAACGACGATGTCCCCTTTTGTGCGTCCTGGAGCCGACCCTCGTTACGGCACAATTTGCCCCGAGTCTTTCTGGCAGTGGATCTTCAGACGAACCCGCCTGGATGAAACAAGCCAAGAGTCTCAAGAGCACTCCCAACCTGACCATGGACTCGAAGAAAAGCAAAAAGCACACCCGACGAAACTCTTTTGATATATCGGGACACAATCCGGAAAAACAGGAACAACCCTGGATGATGAATGCCTCTTTGAAACCGGCAAAGTCCACACGACAAGTTTCCGATACTACAAGCACTACTAGTCCAAAAATCGTACGATCGCCACGAAAGACACCCAACAAGTACGCTTCCAAATCGGCGTCGGCCGATGTCCTGATGGGAGACGAAAAGCCAGAATGGATGAAGTCGGCCGAGAAACTACGGAAAAAGAAAAAGCCAGTCATCAACCACGAAGCCAACAATCCGGCGGCACCACCGGCCGAAGATTTGCCCGAATGGATGACACAACGGTCCAAAATACAACAACAGCAACAACAAAAGACTTCATCACCCGATGAAAAGAGTCTGCGAGGGTCCACCAATTCCATCGCATCAACTACTAGTACAGCCAATGAAGACGAACAACAACAACCCGCATGGATGATTCAACGATCCAAAATAAAACAAAAGACGGATCTCACGCCTCCTCCTTCTCCCACCAGGAAAACCAACAATGCAGGCGACAACAAACCGGATTGGATGAAACATCACTTGGTACCGGAACCGCGCATCAGCATTGACGACTTGAAAACGTCCATTGTCCAGGAAAAACTCGAACTACGAGAACCCATACGACAAGCATCGATTCGACTCACCAAAGAAGAACTCACTGACAATGTCGTCAAACAAAAACTAGAAAAACGACCCAGTATTGTCGATCACCGAAAGTCACAGGTCAAACCGGAAGAAATGGAATGGATGAAGAAAAAACTCAAAAAATCCACAGCAACGTCCCAACCAGAAACGTCGTCACTCAAAAAAGAACCAGCAGACGACAAAAAACCGGAATGGATGAAACATCGAGACAAATTGATACCTCGTGTCAGTGCTCAAGAATTGCAAAAGTCCGTCGTGCAAGAAAAACTCCACAGCCGCGGACCCATTCGAGAATCGTCCTTGCGCAACATTTGCAAGGCCGAATTGACCGATAACAAAGTCATGACTAAATTGGCACAGCGGCCCGCAGTCTACTCGACAATAAAGTCGATCATCCAGACGGAGAATATGGAATGGATGAAATACGGAATACGTGCCCAAGAGCGTGCCACGACGCCAGACGACCACGGGTGATGATCGTCCCATGGATGAGAGGAAAACGGAAAAACGCAGGTCATGCCAGGAAACTACTCCGATGCCAGTGAGATTTGATGGCGTCATACGCGGAACCGCAAAAAAAGAAAGACAAAGAAAGAGGATCAAGACGTCCCAAGTGGAGAAAGAGGAACGCAAAAACGGAGATCTTCTCGGAGAAGTATGAGTCTCACTGACAGCGAGCATGACAAAAAAGAGGAAGAGTCCGAGGACGGAAAGAAACCATTGCGCCGATCCGCGACGGTTGACGAACGAGCGCCAAAGCGACAACCCGCGTGGATGAATGCAGCCGAACAGAGGCGAAGCGCTTAAAGAGCCAAGGGTCTCATTGGCAAGAGAATGAGATCCACGTTCGCCGCACAGCCTGCGATAACAACAAGCAGGAATCCGACCAAAGCGAACGACCAAACAGTCGCAAGCCAGCGAACCACACCAAAGTCACGAACCGACGACCCAAACAGTCACCAAGGCCAGCGAACAACACAAAGTCACCCAAACCGACGCAGACAGTCACCGAAGCACACCAGCCGGAGAATCACCAGAACCACCAATCCAGGACATTGCCAAGCCAACACCACGAAATCACCCAGAACGACGACCCAGACGAATTCCCAAGCCTGCACCACCAAAATCGACCAAAACCAACGACCCAGACATGAGTCACCAAGCCAGACACCACCAAGAATCACCGCAAACCGACGACCCAGGCAACTGCCAAGCCTTGCACGACCGAAAATCGACGCGAAACCAACCACACAGACGAATCGCCAAACCGAACAACACCTAAAATCAGCCAAAACGACGACTCAAAGCAATCACCTAAGCCAACACCACCTGAAAACACCATCACAAGAGACGACCCAGACCATCACAAGCCAACGGCCAAGCCAACTGCTAAGCCAACCGCCAAACCAACACCACCGAAATCACTTTCGCCAACACCGAAGGAAAGACCCCGGACCCCCCCAAGAAAAAACAAACTGTCCAAGGCCAAGCGCCAAAGAGAAATCCACCGAAAAAGAAGGCTGAACCAATCCCTCCGCCGACGGAATCCGCTTCTCGACAAAGCGTCCTGGGCACAGTCAATAGTCAAATCTTCAGCATCGAAGGGCAGCCATGAAAAATGAGCGCGAATCCCCGTGCCCTCGGACTTGGAACGAACCTGAGAAAGCTTTGGTGGAAATAAACAGCGCGTTCACCCAAACAGGCGGTTTCATCAAGCGAGAGGCAAAAGAAATCAATCAACCAAGAAGTGCAGCAGCCCATGGCGCTCTCTGTGACGTGAAACGAACGGCGAAAGTTGAAGGAGGTTGGAAAAAATCGTCAGACGCAACACCAAATACCGCACGAAAGAAACAGCAGGCAGAAAAAAAAAATCTATCCGTCCACAAAACGCGGTCGATACACCTCTTACGTAGAACGAACCAGCAAGCTGCTGATGGCCTTGAACAATCTCTCGAGGAACAGCAAACGCCACGATCTAAGGCTCAACCGCAACACCGCAAAGACAGCTTGCAAGACAGGGGGCTCTCTTGCGGATGACCGGATGCGCGAGCTCTGACAAGGCGAGAAATCCCCGGCAAAACCCCTGGTGATGGGCGATTTTGGCAGGTTATTTCGTGGGTAGCCGGAGGGTCCGATTCCACCGACTCCGAAACCTCGGGCGAAAACCATCCAAGGCGGTGGACTTTTCGGCTTCCATGAACGACATTTCTGCTGTAAAGAAACCCGCCGAGAAAAGGAGGCGCAGGTCCAGCAGGAAGTCCATCTCGTCATCAGGCAGCCGACTCAAAAGCCGCAGTCGATCAAAGTCCCTGGACGGTAGAAAGAAAAAGAGTAAGGAACGAAGAAAAAAATCGAAAGAAAGAGAAGGAGGAAGTCCGAAAAGAAGGACAGAAAAAGGAAAGCAAAAAGGAAACCAAGAAAGCCGAGAAGGAAAAGAAGGCAAAACGGCAGGATAAGTAAGGATTGCGGACACGGTCTGTCGTCTATGGTCTTCTATGAATTTGTCCCATTTTGATTAATTGTAAACCTATTGTAATAGTACCGGTATCGATGCAGATTGTCCTCATTGCGATGCGTTCAAGTTTGACAACTTCGGTGGCACACAACTGTACACATGTACAGCATCGTACTACTAGTAGTATCGTGCGAGCCAACCAATTGAGGGCCATCGAAACATACGCTGTATAATTATTCAGATCCCACCCGCGTCTTCCAACCACCCCTTGGCCGCGAGGAGACAGAGTTTCGGTCCGTAGACGGCTTGGGAAGTCAGATTCATTCCCGCGCGCAAGCCCAAGCGAGAGATTCGGACAACCCACCACACCGTAACGAAGAAGCAATGCCGCTGGATGTTCGATGTATCGCACTTTCGAAGCACCCACAAGCCATTAGCAGCCTGTTTCTCGTTCCCAAGATGCCAGAGTACGGTGCCGACGTGTTGAACAAGCGAGTCTTCATTGAGTTTCTCGTTGACCGCAAAGGCACACGACGACCCTTCGCGGGAACAATTTGCCGAGTCCTCGAGTCAACAGATTGCGGCGACGATGGCATTTTGATTCGCTACGTCGACCACGAAATCAAGTTTGATGATGGCGATGTGCGGGTATTCAACCTCCAGGTGGAAGAAGATGCTAATCGTTTGTTTTGGAAGGCTCCTGTTGAGGATGCATGCGGTAAGAAACGACGTGCACGTGGCGGCGCTGAATCTTGCGGTCCCGAGCAGAAGAAGAGTTGCCACGAGCATGACAAAGGCCGTCCAACGATAGCCAGGTTCCACGCTGAGAAGTGGCTCAGAAATCTTCCACAATGGCTTGAGGATGATGGGTTGAGCAAGGATACGATTCGGGGCTTCCTTACCACGGCAATGAAACTGGCATCTGGAGAAGGAATCACGTACAAGAATTGGCCCGAGGGCGTCACTTTCTATCGAGGCATTCCTGTGAGCCCACTCTTCGGTGACAGCCAATGGGAGAAGCTGTTTCAAGATATCAAAGAGTACGAGAAGAAATATTGCAATGGCATTGATATTTCCAGAGGCAAATTGCTAAGGAACCCTGTTCAGAAGTTGCGGCAGTTCTACCAGGACGAATTCTATGCGGATCTAGTTTCTGAACCATCGTGTCAACTCGATACGGAATCGATATCCGATGGAGAAGAAAACTGATCAAGTTGTTCAACCCACTAGCTAGCGGCGTGACTCTCCTATGAAAGTCCACCCATGATCGAATAGAAGGAGCACGGAAATGAGATTACCATGAATGTAGTTACTGGCTGAATAGCATGTTGTTTGTTGTATCTATGTATCAGTATGCAATGATGGGCTTACCCAACTTCATTGGTACGCTAGCTCCTTGACTTCTTCCAACCACTTGGAAAGTATGTTCTGGACAATGATGTATCCCTCTTTGATATCCTCAGTGTCTGTGTCCCTGGGACCCACTGAGTTCAGATCCGAATGGTGGGCTCCATTCTCAAAGTTCAACACCAACAGACTATCCGACAAGTTTTGTTTCACGGCACCAACAGACCATCCATCATTCAACCCATTTGTGAACAAGATACGACTGGCATTGGCAGCAATCAGGTCATCAAACCTCCACTTCTCAACGAGCTCTGTTGGACGTGGCACAACTCCAAATCTGTCTTGGCAATGCGCATTCATCCAGTCCAGTGTCCAGTTGCGAGGAGGGAACATGGATTCATTGGAAAAACCAATTTTCTCCACCAAAAGTGTACCTGCAAGGTTTGAGAGCCACACACACACATCAGTTCCAAGCTGTGGAAACCAGCACGTTCATGTAAAGTCCAGTGTGGCCAAATCTAGCTAGGAGCAGCCAACCAACTTACAAGTTTGAAAATCCCAACTCTCTGCGTCAGCGCCAGTGCCATCACCACTCCAATCTCCACCGGATATGGTAGCATTGGGCCCTGTTGGAAGCTGCAGACTCATGTCAAAACAGTCAGCACCTCTTCCTAGTCTCTCTGTCAGGAATGTCTTCACCTTGTCAATATCACTGGTTTGGGAGTCCAAGAAGATTTGACAATCCTTGTACAGGTTGGTCTGTGGTGAAGGAGGATAATTGGCCATATTGTCATTGGCAAAAGTGTATCCTACCATCATGACTAGTTCTTCCATAAACAATTGTCGATTTTCAATGTAGTCCGGAAGCGTCCCAGGGCAAATGCCAACATCCAGGGCAGGAATATAGTTGGATGAGGAGCCTTCCTGTAGCACAGCGTCCAAAGCCTGCCTGACAGCTTTGGAACACCCAGGAATAGTTTTCTCTGCAACCTTGGAAATATGATTGTAGTAGTCTCCTTCTTGTACTTGTTGAGAGTAGAATTTGACAGGAGCAGATGCTGCATAGGACATGTCAATTACATCTGGAAATCGTAGCCGAGCAGACATGCTGAGAAATCCAGGATATGAGCCACCAACGGTGATAACGGGGCAGTATTTGGAGGACGACTTGTCAGGAGAGCAATGGAGCCGGTCTTGAGCTACATGCTGTACCAAGCGGACTGCATCCATCAGTGCTTGTTCAGCTGTGAAGAGTTGTACACGTGGATCCTCTGCTACCTCCCAGTTCCCCTCAAGATTCCTCCTTCGCAGCCTTGCTGCAGCAGATTGTGGTTGGTTGCTTTCTCCCGAGGTGGGATCCGTTTGTTGTTGTGTCAATAATAATGGCTGTGAGAATCCATAGAATCGATGCTCTGGCTGGACGACAAAAGCTCCAAAATTCTTGGCCAGGTGATCACTGACAAATGGGTACTTGATACCAACCTCTGGCGGAATATGACCTTCTCCTCCAAGAATCAGAAAAATGGGATGCCCAGGTCCCTTGAAATGATCGGACCAAACATAGTAGCGCTGTGACCACATTTCCCCTTTGTAGTCACTATTGTTTTGGTTCAAGTGATCGACAAGCTGCAGGGGATAATAGTGGGCAGGAGCTGCATTGCCGCCATAGCCCTCTTGGAAATGACTTGAGAAGACAGCCAGAGCCACCAGAAAAGGGAGGGAATCACTCCAAAGGCACTTCATGGTTGACCTCATGCGATTGCGATGTACCGCAGCTTGCTTTGGACTTGGAGGAGGCTAATGGAGCTAGACTACAGTGCATGTATGATGGCTGCTCTTCCAAGAAAACGGACGAACCGAAGATCTCAAAGATATCTGTGACGTGTCATTTCGGACTCAAGGGATTGATAAGTCACGAGCCATGCTGGCTCGAGGCAAAATTTGAAAACTGCCGCCACAATTTGGGGCGAGAGGAGTTGTCATAATATTCCGCCTACAATCCATCGACCATGATGAACAAAGAGCAACCTACAATGCGATGGGTTAAACTACCAACTCAGCAATTGGGAATCCACACGAAGAATGATTCAATCTGAACAGATTTGGCGTTCCTTGCGGGTGATTGTTTGACAGTCTCATCTTTTTGGCGAATGACGAATGAGTCTGCACCACAAGGACAGCATTTGAAAATTGCACCATGGCCAAGCCTTCGCAGTGATCAGTCGGCCGTAGGGATTGAGAAGTCGTACAATTGACAATCCGAGCCTACCGTACATGTATGTTTTCTTCTTCATCCTTTTTGGTCGGTGGTTCCATTGCTTCTTGTTGTTGTCATTGCGATCATTGAATACCCAGTGCACCCGTATAAATCTGGGAGGTTGGGGTTTGTTTAGTCAATCTAATTTGATTCACGAATACTACGTCAGTTAGCGAGGGTCTTTGGGTCACGCCACAAGACTGGCATGGATCGATGGCAATGGTCGTGCTTCAAGGTCATCGATCATTCTGACAGGCGTGCCGTGTTGGCAGCAATGGGACCGATCAGCGATACGATCCACCGCAACCCGAAGAAGAAGGGCAGCGAAATCGTCCACTACTACGATTTCACAACAACAAACTCGAGAGTCCACTACGACGACCTTCGACCTTTACGACGACCTCCGACTCTACGAAAGCTCGAGATCCCTCGACCTCTACGAACTTCGAGGCCAACGAAGAAGATACCTAAGTCATACTAATAGGAACGAAGGTTAGTAGTCCTAGTCGCCTTGTTGGCTCGCTGCCATCCTCTTTTATGCGAGTGTGGAGGGAGGCTCGCCTTTACTGACTCTCTTCACGTTGCGTTATACTATCAATAGCTACTAGCTAGTAACAGGAAGACAAAGGAAAGAAAGAAAGATGTTGAGCGGATTCAAGTATCGCGACCAAGTGTTGGGAAAAGATGTAGCTGTCAAATTTCGGGTGGCCAGAAGTGCCGCTGCTGCCAAGAATTACTTGGGAACGATTCGCAGAATGCAGGTTCACTTGGACGACGACGGCGAACTCGAAATTTTACATCAGGTACTGTACATATCTCGCTGTGAAAACGCCATGGTGGTAACAATCAATCTCTAACCTGCTTTTGCTTTCTTTCTTGTTTCTAAAGGTAAAGAAAGAATTCGCTTCTCGAAGATTCTGAGTAAGATGACGTGCGAGCGCGCGTGGTGCTAACCGTGCTTCTTCATTATTTTTCTTCAGGTTATCTACCAAGACGGCGACGAAGAATGGTATGATTTGGCAGAACTCGACCAGAGTGGACGCTTGGCCTGGTTGAATTTTGGAGAGGATGACGATGTTGCTGTTCCAGCCAAGAAGGCTGCTCCCAGGAAGAGTACTAAGAAGATTAAGCGTGAAGCTCCAAGCGACGGAGATACCGATGGCGACGAAGGCGAGACCGCCAAGAAGCGACCTTCCAAGAAAAGAGCCAAGACGCTTGTGTCGACATCGTCGTCTTCTTCACAGCCTTCGGCTCCCAAGGTCGAATCCGTCGCCACTACGACCACCCCTGTAATAAAATCCGAAGACGACGACCAGAAGACCGAGACTGATGGCGAAGACGATGAACCGGTTGGTGAATCGACCGTCGTGTCCCCCGAAAAGCCTGCGGAACCCAGGCAACCACGCGAACCAGCCGAAGACGAGATGGATCTTCCAAAATGGGTCCTGGAAATGCATGATTGGATGCTCTCCGTTCCTCATGGCTCCAAGAACTCGACCGTGTCAGAAACCAACGCTCGCTCCGTGATGCGTCAAGTCAAGAAGCTCGTTCGCGGCGAAGGTATCACGTACAAGAATTGGGAAGAAGGCATTGTCTTTTATGAAGACGAGCCGGTGAACCTGAGCCACAATTTCGAGGAAATGCTTACTCAGGCGAAGCGTTTTGAAGGCCTCCATGGAAAGGACAAGGGCAATGGCTGGCTCATGCAACACCCCATTACCAAGTTGGACCTCTACAAGCAGTACCGTGTCGATCAAGGACAGCCATTGGAGTAAGCTGGAGGCAAAATCGTTGAGGTGGTAGGGTTGAAACCTCAGAACGCAGCAAAACAAATTGACGAAGTGAGAATGTATGGTGTTTTTCATTTCGGGAGAGATGGCGGAGCTCAGCAATCAAGATTGCTTGTACCTTTCGTCGTCGAAATTGGAGTTTCACAAAACAGATGCATCACTTGATGTGAAGCAGAATAGGTCCAGGTTTAGTAAAGAAATAGCCTAGTACAGCCTAGTACACATATCCGATCAACAAATAGGTATCACATACTACGATGTAGAGAGTCCCCCCTACATTCAATTCCCTTGATTTCCATTGCTGGCTATCGGTGCGGTACGTGAAGGGCCCCGACACGAACCTTTCAGCTGCCGGTCCTTCGAGCAGGTCGTGGGCAACAGTCACGGTCGGCAATAACCAAGACGAAAGCTTGAAGTTGTTTAGACTGGAAGCCTACAGTCTAAAATCAGATTGATGGACTCGACAGCGAGTCGACTCGAGTCTCGAGATTTCACGGCCAGGGCGGTCGACAACGAGGCGGCCCCGGCGAACACCCATGCTACCTTCAGTTCGACATCCTCGTTCATGCTAGTCCACGCTTGCTTTATTAGAATGCACCATAGGTTGCTTCTTCTTCCCTCCTGGCACACCTGCGAGGATATCGGATGCTATACCGGATTCTCGTGCTGCGAAAGTAAGTAGCTATCTCGACTTCCGGCCCGACTGCACGAGCTTCGTAGCGAACACGCATACCGCTATGCCATAGAAGGTTGGAGCTTCGCAGATCGATTATTCCCGGTGCCTCTCCGGACTTGAATAAGTAGGGGCGAGCTATCATAGATGTACCGTACCTGGTACGTAACTCATAGAAGCTTCATCCAATCACTTCAGACTAAGTGGCTTGACTCGATTCGTCACTCGCCTCGAGGATCTGAGGGGCTTGGACAGCTCCTTGTGGCGAAGCCAAAGGTGCACAAGTGCCTCATGGATGAAAAAATAAATGTTGTTCGAATGTACGCTTCCAGACTACGGTAGCTTGCAGGCAAGAGCCACGGAGATCTGGCTGAAGATGGAAGATACTGCAATTGTTCCTCGAGCCACGTGCTCGTCGTTGGCCGCAACCAAGACGAAGAATGCCAGCAGGGGATTAGAGGCTAGGAAGGAAAGCCCTTATCGATAGTTCTGGTGGGACCTACTGGTCTGTTGAGTACACTACAAACGAAAGCAATATATGCGTGCCTTGTGAGCACTACTAGTTGCGGTTGGCAATACCACCATCTGCGGTGGTGGTTTATTCCGAGACAGGTCACTTTCGTTCTCTGAAAGGCAGTCCAGCTATTGGTAGCTCTGATAGCTTTTTGTGTGACCGCGCTTTTTCAAAGTTTGCATTTTGCAATCAGTGCTTTACTTTTTGAAGCACCGAAGAAGCAAGAAGGAACGTCGGCTTCCAAAACGATGAGGGAACTCGAGGCTGCCATGCTGCCATACTATTAATTAACGTTCTTTTATTAAAGGCACAAAGAGAGAAGACACTGAATCCATCGACAATGGAATTCAATCATTGACGGAAGAACTAGAAGAGAAGAAAAGAAAGTGAAATGGGAAGGGACACAGGCCAATTGATCCCTTTGTTCGAGAGTGTTTTCGATAGATGAGATAGGCAAGGCTTGCTGTTACGTGTTTTGTTCACGTACGTGAAACAGCACACCTGGAATTGTTGATTGGAAGAATGCAGAACCTTCAAGCCGCCATGGGAGGGTCGTTGATATTGCATGTTGGATGACGCGTAAGACGGCATCCGCGGTGCGGTACTACGCAGTACCGGTATTGGATCAACCTGCTTTAGTCTCTGAAAGCCCTGACCCGGATGGTGCATGTAATGAAAGCTCACTGCGGGATCTGGAGGCGGTCACGGAGGCAGGAAAAGGGGGTTCTGATTCGATTCCGACATGGAAGAAGAGGTACGGTAGAGATTCCGCCTTGGTGGCAGTATCAACACCAACCAACACGCTTTTGGGATCGCCAATCCAATGGCGCCAGCATTGCATTCTGCTGGCAATCATGTGGTCAGCCCTTTGCACCGCCAAATGGTTCCAGCTCCACCCACACAAAGAATGTACAGCAAAGCAATCACACTGTGGGTTCTGACTCTGACATGGAAGAGGGACATTCCTCCATAACAGCACCAACCAACAAGCTTTTGGGATCACCAAACCAACCAGGCCAATGGCTTCAGCACTGCACCTTGCGGGGAATCATGCTTGCAAATGGTTCCAGCTCCGCCCACTCCCAAGAACTCCTAGACGCTCCCAGGGACAGCACATCAAGTGGGAGTCGCTGGCTCCAGAGTAGGACGGGTACGGTAGATTCGAATGATTCCGCCTATTGAGGCGGTAAGAACACCAGCCATCAAGCTTTTGGGACAAACAATCCAATGGCTCCAACATTGCATTCTGTGGGCACACATCCCTGCCCAATCAAGAACTCTCAGATGCTCCCTGGGTGGCACAGCAATCAAGCTGGCTCGATTAGCTCAGTAGGTTAGAGCGCACGCCTAATAAGCATGAGTAAGCGTGAGGTCATGAGTTCGATCCTCATATTGAGTACACACTTTTGTTGTTGTTGATCATGTCATCAGGGTGCCCTTTTGTTCATTGCCATGGTCGTCTTTTTGTGGGCAGAGCCCGAGCGAAAAAGAAACTGCAATTTTTAGCTCTAGAGTCGAGGGTTTCATGATTTTCAGGATGAGGCGCGAACTGGTACATCAGTTCGATCCTCATATTGAGTATGCCTCCATCTCAGTTGGAGCATTCTTTTCTCTGCCTCCACATCCCCTGCCCAGGGCAACTGGAGCAGGTTTTATCATGCCGACAAGAACGGACGATGAATGGGGCACCCACAATACGGGAGTACCAATATCGACTTCGAACCAGCCAGATTACACCATCTGATGGGCTGGAATAGGAACTCACCCTTGAACAAGGATTGCGAGAATGGATCCTTCAACTTGTACAGCAGCAATGAACCGAGTATAGTGGCTGAAACAACCTTGGATTCTGGGTCTGTCTTGAAACCAGGTGATTACCGACACGGAATCGTAGTGGCAACTGCTTGTGCCGTTCCTTGCGCACAAGAACAACACAAGACACCTCGGGGTTAGCTGAGGAGATTCATCAAAAGCCAGGACCCATCAGACCAACGCCACCTCGGGTGTATCCCATCATATTAGCCCCATCAAATCATGGTCACCTGATCCTTCCAATCCTTTTGCAGATCGAGCCAGCTATGGCTGCTGTATCCTCATGTGCACTATTTGTGTAAAAGATTTTTTTTCGCTTTGTTCTTCTGGTTCAGGGCATTTGTTGTCATGTATGGCCAGCCCGGGCTTGGAGTGTGGAACCTCCATCAAACTGATACCAGCAGGAAAAGCTTCGAAGTTACTGATGGCTATCATATTTCCCACGGTATCCATAGAATGATGTCAGCAGGGGCGGGCACGCACTGGGTGGCCAGCGCGCCAATAGATTCTTTGAAGGTTTGCATGAAAACCTCAAATAAAATCAGCAGCAGAACGATATATCTGCAACTCGACAATACAACCAAGCTAGCAAGATGAGTGGCACTGCGTACGATGAAGGGGCGATTGGCAAGTGGGTAGTACTCCCTTGGGCAGTGAGTGACAACGAAGAGCAACCATTCGTTGGTCAGATTCAGCAGATGAAACGAAGTGAGGTTGTCTCTGGTGTTAGAGGCCGAACAAGTCGCAAAGTTCGCGTGGAACATCTGGTTGTATTTCACGATGGCGACAAACGGTGGTACGACTTGAAAGAAGAGGAAGACAGCGGCAGGTTGACGTGGGTACCCAAGATGGCTCGAGCAGAGCCCCCCGCTGCGACTCGTCGCAATGCCAAAGAAAAAACATCCAAGAAAAAGAAATCCACTCAAGTCTCTGCCAAAGCGAGGGCCGAAGACTCGCTTCCCCAGTGGATCAAAGATATGCACTCCTGGTTGCTTCAAAAAGACAAACCAATGAGACCTGTGGGTGCAAGAAGGATTATTGACCAAGTTATGAAGCTTGCTTCAGGAAATGGAATTGGGTACCAACATTGGCCTGAAGATGTCATCTTTTATGAAGGTGTCACCATTGATATTGACTCTGACTTTGAACGCATGCTCTCAGAGGCAAAGGAGTACCATGAAACCTATGGAATGGACAAAGGAAGAGGTTGGCTCTTGACGATGCCTGTCTCCAAGCTGCTTCAATTCAAGAAGAGTCGTGGGTTGCCGTCATTGAACACCACTGCACGAGCTTCACAAAGTCCTGGACCAAGCTCTCTGAGAAAGCCGCAGACATCCACCAAGAGCCGCGTGTCGTCAGCAAAGCAGTCAGAGGCTCGAAAGAGAGAAGCTATGGCCGCGAATGCATGTGTCCGAGACACCAACGGAAGTTTCATGTCTTCAGATTTGACTCTCACTACCGCTGAATCAGATGATGATTCGCGTCCAGCGACGGTTGCGAGCCACCCGACTATCCAAGCAGATATCACGCAGCGTGACCCAACACATCAGCAAGACCAGCCAGCGAAGGCAGTGATGGAAGATCAGAGGCAAACAAGGTCCCGTGCCCGCAAATATGATGCAATCAAATCAGAGACTGATAGTCCAGGCGAATCTTTGCCCTCTGACCACTGCGCCCGTGTCGCCGCGACTACTAAGGGGAGCAGAGAGGCCATGCAGCTCCAGTCGCGGGCACGGTATGTTTGCCAGCAGCAGGAACGGCCCGCATCGCAGAATCGGGGGGGAACAGGAAATGTTACATCCTCGGTTCGGACTCGCTCAGCGATTGCTGCGGCACTAGGTATTGCCCCAGCGTCGTCTGCTGGTGGACGTCGTCAGAAAGGACACCAAGAAAGCGAAGACGTATGCATGTCGAGTGAAGCACGGAACAGTGTAAAGGCTGCCCCGGAAGGCGATCTTGTACCCTGGCTCCAGGAGATGCATAATTGGCTCCTTGCAAGCAACTTGACTGAGCAGACTGCAAAGCAGGTAATTAGCCTGGTTCGGAAACTAGCTGCTGGAGAGGGACTTACGTACAAGCACTGGCCATCAGGGATCGTATTCTACCAGGGCGTGTCTGTTGGCCTTCATTTTGATTTTGAAAGGGTGCTTGCGGAGGCCAAAGACTTTGAAGAACGCCACGGCAAAGACAGAGGTGGCTGGACCTTGAGGTACCCACTTGGAAAACTCGCAAAATTTCAAGAGTACAAGTCTATACAGGCAATCTGAGCCGCAAGGAGATGTGACGTTCGATTTTCGTCCTGCTCCTTCAAAACGCGTGTATTATAACCAGGGATTTCATGTGCAACCTGAATCTTCAATAAAGTACTCCTAGCATAAATGTTTCCAGCGTGTTTGTCCAATGGACATGCATGATTGGGCGTTGATGTTTTCCAAACGAGACAGTTTGACTGTGCCTTCGACATGGATGTGCCAACCAAAATCCAAACACAAGATTGAAGCGTTGGTAGCCTAACAACGTACCATACCGCTACATAAAGAAGTACCGTAACACTGCCTGTTTCTACGGTACCGTTCGCTGCTTCTGCGTGTGTGTGCCGTATGTACCGGTAGCATGGTGCAGCGTGGAAGAGTTCAAAACTGGACAGTCCACCTTCTTCGTTCGTTCACAAATTGGAAGCACGACGACAAATGGACCAGAACGCATCCAGCAAGAAAGCTAATCTTGCGATGGGACGAGTGAAGGAGGAACAGCCTGACGATGACGACAGTAGCATTGAGGGTTCTGAGGCTCCTACCAATGAAGAAGCTGCCTCTAGGCAAAAGGTGAAGGGGGAGAAAGACATGGAAGACTTCGTACATCGCGAGGATACACTTCTTGATGATGAGGATGATGATGACGACGACGACAGCACCGCCTTCGCTGCTGTCGACGAACGTTTGGCTCCATTCCATGCCTCTACGATTTCTGGGATCAACAAGAAGAGAAATCCCGACGATCGAACCGAAGCAAGCTTTGGCTGGAAGGGTCGTGACAATGACGGCTCAACGATGGCAAGGCCACGGCAGGCGAAAAAGAGAACTAAAACGAGGCTCCGAAGAGGTGGGGCCTGCCCTCTCCCGAGCCAAACTCCCAGTGCTGATGTAGTGCAATCAACACCTGTGACTGCTGCTGCCGGTCGTCCCTCTATCGGTATGGCTCCTGCACCTTCTCACTCTTCACCAGCCCCGCCAAATTCACCGAAGCCTATACTTGCTCGAGCTTCGTCTGGTTCGTCTTCCACCACAGGATCTTCAGCTGATTCTCATGTTTCGCCAGTGGTATCTTCAGAATTGCCTCGCCAGATTGCTCTTGTCCCCTATGGCGCTGGTAGTTCGCCGGAAGCCCCTGATAAGATCGTCTCAAGTCGCCCGAAGCCCGCCCCCTCCTATCCTCCGGCTCTTGCAGACAACGTCACGTCGCAAACTCACGGTCCATCTGACGCTCCAGCTCCCGCAGACAGAGGATCTGTCACGCGACCTGTCAGGCCACAGTCCGGAATTCCAGCCTCGAAGAAACACTCCGAAAAGCAGCTGGCTACAACTGGCATCACTCCGCCTGTGCAAGATCCCCTTAAAACACGTGCGTTCGGTTCGCTGGTCAAAGAACGTTTTGCTGGCAAGCCGAAAGATTACTCTACATTCTTGGAGTTATCGGAGCAGATGATTCAACTATTCAAGGCTCACAACAGTTCTGATCTCCTTGGTAACATTGGATCGTTCTTTGAAAATCCGGACGGAGTGTCAAAGAGAAAAGATCAAGGCGTGAACCCAGGCCAAGCAAGGGCCGCAAACCCCGGTTCTATGACCTCGACCACATTGGCCAGAGCCAAGTCGAAATCGCGCCCGCTGGCTTCTGCTCTTCCTAGCAGTTCTGCCATAGCAGAGGCCAGTCGATCCAAAGGTTCCAGACATTCTGAGACCCGTGACAGCCCCCCATGCCCACATAGGACAAGAGAGTCTATTCCAGAGAATCCCATCCACAGGCGACAACAGGTACCCTCCGCCAGACAGCGATCCGACAAAAACAAGTATGTTTTCCCAGCTTCGTTCCCTCAAGTCGAATTTCTTCATTTCCTGGAAGACGTACAGAAGCTCTCCGCAAAAAATGTCAACGGCATCATTCGTCCAGCCAACAAGCTGATCTGTGGCGAAGGCATCCGTTATAAGAGGTGGGGAAAGCGTGTCTTCAAGGGGAACATCAAGGTCACGCTCTCAGATGATTTGGCAAAGCTCCTGAATGAAGCCAAAGCATTTGAGAACAAGCATGGCGAAGACTTGGGCCATGGTTGGCTAATGCGGCATTCCATCAAAAAACTCGATGATTTCAAGACCTGGTATAAGAAAAAACACCGAGTCTCTTTCATGGAGCTTGACGAGTGCACCCATGAACCATGAAGGATAGCACTATGGTTTGTATTTCCCACCAGCGAATCAATCGAATCGAATCTGTATTGTATGACGCTATCTGTTTTGATTCAATCATTCATTAAACACTCCAGCCTGCAGTCTGCTTCATTATTTATTTGGCGCAATATTTCTCACTACCGCCCACACGATACCGTAACTCAGTTAACTTAGGAATTACAAAGTCCCCGGAGGGATTTTTTAAGTTCTATAATTTGATTTCAACCTATACTCTAAAAGCCCCCCGTTATCAAGTTGCGGTGCTAGTATTTATGCATTCTAACTCTGCACCGGAGGAGGATTTTTGAAGATGCGACCGCAACAGCTGAGCTAGCACTGTTGCACGGTATCCGTACGTACCGATACCCTTTTAGGAGCTTCAATAGCCTAGTTATTTTGCGAAGCGCTTATGAATTGGCAACATAATCTCCGGTTACACTTGAATTCTCAATTGCTCTGGCTCGTCCTTCTACAAAAATTAGGTACCGTACTTGTACGGTACGGTACGGTACCGGTATGGTAGAGCGTACCGTACCACCGGTACCGGTACCGTACGGAGTACATGTACTAGTGCTCTTCGAAAAAACAACCGTGCCTCATTGGTAAGCTCTGCAGTATTGGGGAAGCTGCATCACCAGAGTATTTGAGCAGTTCGAGAACGGATCATAGCGGTACCGGTAGCGGTACCGTAGCGTGGCTTGATATCTTCTACACCTACCGTGTACGAGTACGGTGAAGTTGTACTCCGCCAAACTCGGGAACGCACACGATGAACAGTGCTGCGTGATGGGCGTGATGAGCGTGAGAACTCCGAGGCCAATGAGCACTTTTTGCAATGTTCCATCGTGGCGCACAGCGAGGCTCTTCCTTGGATTGACCATAAAACTGGCTACCGGTACAGACCACGATTCCTCCTGTTTTACCCATTTTGGTTACAACTCGCCATGTCCGATACCACGACGATAAAGGCAGACCCCGTTGGCTCGGAAGAAGGAGCTGTCATCAAGGCAGATCCCATTGGCTCTGAAAAGGACGTTGCGGTCAAGGCAGACCTCGTTGGCTCCGAGGACAAAGACAACGTCAAGTCCGAAACTCCCGCCGACAACGACGGTGGCGAGGATACCAACACCAAGAAAGGCCGTAGGAAGAGCAAGAGGAAGAAGAACGACACGAAGAAAGGATCGGACGAGTCCAAGGAGAAGAAACCTCGTGTCAAGCCGGAAAAGGCTCAAGAAGTCTATGAGAAGTTGTTGGAGGAATTGGTCAAGAACTACAAGTTTGGACTAAAGGAGGTGCCACTGGACACGCTGGCATCAAAACTAAATTACAAGAATGTCCGCAGTGATGCCATTGCTGCCGCGAAGAAGCTCATGAAGGCTGACGACAAGGCGGAACTTGTCAGCGGTGGCAAAGCCTGCCAGTTGACGGAGATTGGAGTCAAGGAGTTTGTTCCAGACGAAAAGGTTGCGGAAAGCCCCGAAGAAGCCTTGACACAGTTCTGGACGCACCTGACCATGAAGCTCTCGTCCGACAAGAAGACATCCAATGACAAGGCTCTTGATTCGGCCAAGAAGATGTGGGATCTACTCGCGACTGGGAAGGCCTTCACGAAGCAGGAGCTGTGCGACGTGACGCATTGGAGTATGGTTCGGAGCACTGGTTTCCCCGAGATCATCAAGGCCATGAAAGATCTCCAGTTTGTCGACGGCGAGAAGGAGCTTTCCTTTACTGACAAGCTGTTTCCGTTCGGGAGGCCTTGATCATGATACCGGTTCATAGCGTGACAAGGATCGAAGAGAATCGAATCTGGATTTATATTTCTTACGTCCAGAAGGTTGTTGTTACTCTCTGGGCCGAAAGCAGCCTTATCAGAGTGTACCGTATGAGTACTGTATTGTAGTAATGACTAAAAAACGAAGAATCAATCATGGACAGTCTCGTCGTGTAGCTAGTCTGACTTGTTTTGTGTATGAGTGAGTCTGTTCATGCCTTCGTTGTGTTTGTGGTCTGAAAAAAAGGCTCCACCAGCTTGTGTTGGATGGCAGGATATCACCACGAGCCCATGGCCAAGCCGCAGAGAGATTGCATCTCCAACGCTGTCGACAGGTCGTTGAAGTATCATGCCGACTGCTGGAGGACCCCAAAGACTTCCAGCTGGAGGATTGATACGGTTTGGCATTCCCTGTGCACAAGTAGATGCTTTCTCCAACACCGGGGCTCAAACTAACTTCCTCTCTAGCTCCCCCTCATTTGTCCGCCACACCAGAATAGTGACGATGCGAATTGTAATTCGTTGCTCCCACCCTCACTTACTCACTCACTAACTTGTCCTCCGCCAAACGTTAGTTGCTGATTCGAGTTGTCGCAATAGTAATCAATTCGTAGCATGCGATGCGATGTGGGTTCCATCTCCAGGGCTTGAATCTGTAAGGAGTAGTGATTATCGTCCTTGGTAAGGAGATGAATATCCCACTGTTGCGTGGTGGCTCCCTTGCCTTGTGCACATAGATCCTTGTTTGGATCGTCACTCCACAGGTCGACGCATTGAGCGACCACTCCTTCCAACTGGTAAATATACTGAATAGTGGCATCATCGTCTTCCTGCAGATTGAAGAATCCTAATGCCTGACTATGTCCTCCCTGCAAGGTTTTGCTCCAGACTTGTTTCAGGGCAGATGTTGTTCTCAATTCTTCAAATGCGTCGTCGTCTGTGTTCGTCGTCCCTTTGCATCCCACGACACAATAGGCCTGTTTGCGAGAGACATCTTGATTGACGGCAATAATGTGTTGGTTCACGAGAATCTTGCGATACTCTTCGGGAATGGTACGAACGTCTCCTCCAATGAGGAGTGGCGAGGCAATCATGGCCCAAAACCCCATTTGCAATTGAGCTTGGGGTCGTGGCAGCATGGTTCCATAATGATCATCTCCCACAATCAACATGTCGGCATCATTGAAAGATCCTGTTGGAATATTTTGCAACTCGTGCCAGTAGTCGGCCCAGTGCAAAATGATTTCTGACAAAGACTCCCAATGATTGTCAATGTCCTTGAAATTGCGCCACGTATTGCATCCCGCTTGATGGTACATGACGTCAAAGGGTTTGTCGGTTTCATTGTCTCCAATATATGCCGGCCAACTACAGGAAAATGTCATGTTGCGAATGTGGGAGACTTTGGCCATGGCAGCGCCAAAGGCGACGTATCGTTGGCGATACTTGTTGCCTTGCTCATGACTAGAAGTAGTTGTAGCGTCGTCGTCAATATGACAGCCATCCAACTTGATATAGTCGACACCCCATTCCGCAAACGTCCTGGCGTCAATGTCTTCGTATCCCTGTGATCCCGGGTAGTGTCCACAGGTTTGAATTCCGGCATCCCCATAGATGCCCAGCGTCAATCCAGCGGCGTGCAAATAGTCCGCCAACGCCGCAATGCCATGGGGAAAGCGCGTGGGATCGGCTTGCAAACGCCCTTGAAAGCGTTGATGATCCGTCCAACAATCGTCAATCGAGACTTGGGTATATCCGGCTGCAGCGTATCCGTGCAACACGAGTGCATCGGCCATACTTTGGTACAATTGTTCGCTGATGCAATGCGTGGGATCGTCGTTACAATCAATGGTACATCGAAAACGTTCCCAACTCATGAATCCCATAGTGGGGGCCGCCAAGTCCACTACTGGATCTGCGAGTGTCAGTAGTAGTACATGGCTACTAATAGTAGAGAGGAACAAAAGGAGCCGTGGTAGATGATGTAGTAGCATGGTCATAGCACTGAGTTTGTCGAGTTGTCGAGTTGTGTTTGTGTGGTCGACTTTCCATCAAAAATCAAAAAGGATTCTGCAGAAGAGTTAGGGTTGAAAAAGATTTTTGGTGGCCACACTCTCACAATGGCAACCGCCAACACCAAAGCCAACCAAAGACCGTGCTCGATTTTGTTTTGGACCATGATGACTACTACTACGCGTACATCTAGTAGTTCTCCATGCTATGTCTCCCGTTCCAGACAAAGACCGACGCCAACATGTTCTGCAGTACCACTCCAATTATTTCTGCTAGTACTAGTAGTGTGTATGAGTAGCACTACAACTCAAGTCCATGCCGGCAAGATGGTGTACACACTACTAAAGGGCACTGGGTCCAACTGTGTGTCGGTGGATACATTGCCAGGATCCACGTTGGAGATTGAGTATCACTTACCGGATCTCAAAGTCAAAGACAATGTCGAAGATCAAAAGCTGTTGGATGAACCGTTGAACACCGAAGGCATGGATGAAGCCGAAGCCGCATTGCTACAGAGACAACGAGAAGTTGCCATCAAACGGGTACGTAGTTTCGAGGAGGACAATTGATGGATGCATGCATGCACGGCAGTGCAAGGGGAGACGAAAGCAACTTGTGTTGCGTGTCTGTCTCATCTGTCTATCTCATCTTATCTATCTTTTGGTTGTTCATTTCATTTTCTGCTCCACAAAATCCTCTGATGACCACAATTTACCTCATTTCCCCCCTTCTTGATTGATGTGTTGCTGTTGTTTTTACTTATTTTTCAGGCCCGCCAAGGCAAGGATGTCTCGATTGCCATTAGTCAACGCAATCCATTCCCCATTATTGAATTGGAACCTCACAAGCGAGAACGACCGCGCAATCAAAGAGAACAACCCGCCGATAAGGAAGGAACGATACTATTCGAAACATCGCCAACGGGTGGACCCGTACAATTGTGCATTCATTCCCTATTCGCCAACAAACTACATCCCTACCTCATTGGATTGCGCATTGAACAAATTGTCAATCTCAGTGCCGAACAAACTGAAATGATTCATGATGAACAAGAACAAGGTGAAGCACCACGAATACTCGTAAAAAATGACGCCGCAGATGCCGAAACCGAACAAGTACTCAGCCACTTGTCGGCTTTTACCCAGGAAATGGTTCGCGCCGAAAACTTGGTACGCACCATTCTAGCCAGTGCCGATGTCGTCAAAAAGGAAGAAGCAGACTTTTACGAACAATCCATTCGCATGGAAAAAAGTGTACACTTTTGGCCCATGGTGCAACTCGTCTGCTTGCTGCTGGCGGCGTTTTTCCAGATTCGACATGTCGTGACATGGATGAAGCGAAAACATATTTATTAATCTATTAGACTAATAGTCTACTACTAGACTAAAATGAATTGAATTGAATAAGTGCAAAGAACGAAACAGAAGTAGTCAACAATGCGAATAATACAGAAGTCAAGTAAATAATGATCAGACATCGTTCCTGGTACCATCCGATCATGTACACTGGTTTCTATTTGGAAGTGGCCTTTGGTCCCACCTCTTGGAAAGCAGAGCCTAGGACCCACCAACTAACTACTATTGCAAGGCTTTGGGCCATCCATTGGACCAACTGGCAGGTAATAAAATATGCATGATCTGGGAGGGGACTACAGTACCCACATCTCAGCAGGGGAAAATGTTGCGAGACGCATAGTCTACTTGTAGAGGCAGTTCGCAAAGTTGCTTGGAATCGATGCTCGTGTTGGATCTTTGACACACCTGGCCTGCTTCATCAGTGTCGTTGCTGCAACTGTCTGCAATTGCAACAGTTCATCCCTTTAGTGCAGCCATGCCCTTGCTAACATGTTTCTCGTTGCCACCAAAGATGCCTCTTGCTCGAAGCAAAGTTGCGGTGGGATCAGCAAAGGATCAAGTTGATTTCCCTTAAGCTTTGGCGGTGCCGCCGTCCACAAAACGATCAAAGAAACTGGCAGCGGCAGCCAAGTGTGGGGTGGACGTTGGACTTTATCAATTTTTGGTGAAGTGAGAGAACCCGCGAGTTTGGGTGTCAGGCAGGCAGCCAGCCAGTGAATATACTGCCGTATCGCTACTACTAGCTAGTAATGTAATTTCATAATCGACCGCGATTGCCCAGTTCCGCGGTGCTTGATGCCACGGCAATGGTCGCCCCAAATTCGCTACGGTAGGTAGCTAAAAAGAGATGGCGGCTTGGAGCTTGCCAAAGACTGTCACTCCAAGTGCCAAGAATAGGAGCAGCCGTGAAAGCAATCCCAAGCAACGGTGTGAACCAACGGCGACCAAATTGGGCTCCCTCGACGAAACAGCTCTCAACAGCCAGTCACACTTATGGTTTGGCCAGGATCCGGGTATCAATTTTGGCGGCAACCCCCGTAGACATCGAGACGTGGCAAAAATGAAGGGGTATCTTTTGTGCGTCCTAGCCGAAAAAGGTGTGCCACAATAAGTCATACTGGCGAAGAATGCCGCAAGAAATTTGGCCGTGGGATCAGCCAACTTGGAAAAGGCTCATTTTCTCATCCTTTGTCTCGGTGAAAAGCTTGTCAGAGTCCCAAAATCCAAGACGAGTATATCAAAGGCAACATGATGAAACAACGCAATACCTCTCTCCTTGCCCTTTGGTGGGTGTTCTTCTCGGCACTGTGTTTTCCAGCACATGCCCAGAACCTGCGTATCGGTACCATCCCACGCAGTGAGAACTCCCGCAAACTTGAACCTGGCGAGAATTTGCGCAATGTCAAGTCCAAAATCAACTCTTTTCTAAGCTCGCATCCTTCTACTTACAAGAGGCCTGACAGTGATAGAGTCCGGAGGACACAGGAGGGCATTCAGTATCGCTATGAAGTTGTCACAGGTGCGATTCTAACGGTCCCAAGAGCCGCAGTCCCCAATTCAGAGATTCGAGCCTTTGAACGCCTTTCCCAAACGTTTTATACTCGGGTTATTGCGTCTACCTATCCTCAGTCCTTTCAGAGTATCAGCTTGGTGCCAATCGCAAGAATCCCGATTGACGACCCATTCATTGTCGCCGTTGCATTCGACACCACGGTCAATTTTCGAATTCAGGGAAGTGTCCCATCAGTGGTTGATGTTTTCTTTACTTTGGAGCTTGCAGCTACCGAAACGTACACTTTTGAATTCCTTTTTAACTTTGCTCGGATGGCAGGGCCAAGTTTTGAGGAGTAAGTAGGCGTCGGGTTGAATGAATCAATCGGATCAATACAGAGGTTCCTTCCTAACAATGTTGTTCTTTCTTGATCTGCAACCCAATCAAAAGTGCCATCGATGCAGCTGGTTTTGTGATTACTATTGGAGAGGGACAACCCACACGGGCGGTAAGAAACTGTGTTCTGTTTTGTGTTGTGTTGTTAATTCAGCTTTGTTGGTCTCTCAATCAAGAAGTTTCTGTGTCCCAGCCAACCCCTGCCCCCCAACCCACGGATCCACCAAGCACCCCAGGACCAACGCCTACTCAACCCACCACCATGGTGCCATCTCCACCACCAAGCACTCCCGTACCATCAACGGCCGCACCTGTCACTCCTGCACCATCCACGGCTGCACCAGTTTCTGGAGCACCCGTCACGGCTGCACCCTCCACGGCCGCACCTGTCACTCCTGCACCATCCACGGCTGCACCAGTTTCTGAGCACCCGTCACGGCTGCACCCTCCACGGCCGCACCTGTCACTCCTGCACCATCCACGGCTGCACCAGTTTCTGGAGCACCCGTCACGGCTGCACCCTCCACGGAAGCGCCGGTGACAGTCGCACCCTCCACTGAAGCACCAGCTTCTGGAGCACCAGTCACGGCTGCACCCTCCACGGAAGCGCCGGTGACTGTCGCACCCACCACGGAAGCACCAGTGACTGTCGCACCCACCACGGAAGCACCAGTGACTGTCGCACACCCACCACGGAAGCACCAGTGACTGTCGCACCCACCACGGAAGCACCAGTGACTGTCGCACCCACCACGGAAGCACCAGTGACTGTCGCACCCACCACGGAAGCACCAGTGACTGTTGCACCCACCACGGAAGCACCCGTCACTGTCGCACCCACCACGGAAGCACCCGTCACTGTCGCACCCACCACGGAAGCCCCAGTGACTGCTGCCCCATCGACTGCGTCACCATCCCCACCCACCGGTGGTGGAACTATCATTGAAAATCAAAGAGGAAACAAGAGAACCCACAACCACAATCATTGAGAAAACGATGCAGCGGAGCAGCCATTTGCTTTGAGGGTATAGCAACCAAGGAGACAAGGCACCAGATGGGTAGCAGTCTCCTTGTGTTTTTGTATGTGAATTTTTCAGGCAGGGAAGGTCAATTGGCCCCCGACGTGGTCCCTTGATCCTATCGTTTCTCATACATAGTGTATGTAGTGTAAAAGAAACATGTTTGTTCAAGTAATCTTTTTTTGATGACTGTGCGTAGCTTCCCAAGAGACAAGGAACGACCCAACTAACCCCATACGGGTATAGATTTCGACTCCCTCTAGAAGTGACGTTGGCTCATTTTTCTTCGTCGCCCCTTCCTTGCAAGACTCCACAACAAAGCAATGACCAGGCAGCCGTTTCTCGCATTCCTACTATCGCCTCTGTGGATTTTCTGTCTGGTAAATGCAATGGTTCAGAGCCACTCGCGGAGGATTGAGCGAAGACTTCAAGACAAACGGAGTGACTTCATTCCTGCGTATGTAGTGTCCACCTGTGGTATCGTTGGTCCGAATGGCGAGGTCTACGCTCCGGGATTCGGATGTTTTACCTGCGAACCATGCCATGACAGAGCCTGGCTACGTAAAGCAGACCGACTGGACTGCCTTGCATTGAAGACGGTACCCATCACCACCAGTTCTGCTGGACTGCCACAATAGGTTCAGCCAGGTGCTGGCAAAGCCCAAGCGTCTGCGTAACAGAGGACAGAGGCTTGGTGACGCTTTCTCTTGGAGGATCAAGTGCACGACAACACCCCAACGACCTTTCGTGCACTTCAATTGATTGCTTGTTTCTCCGATGTTTACCTTTTAAGAACATGTGGACTGCGAACGTGTGTTCAAGTCCATGGAAGGATTTCCGATCGAACTTCGTACATGCAACGACGACAATGCAATCAAGAACCTTGATTTCAGCAGTCTCTTATGCTACCGTGCGTTCCTGACGCCTGAAGCACGTGCAGCTTTTCCGATCGTTCCTGAGGATGTTTTGGTGTCCACTCCTCCAAACACGATGCATGGCAATGGGCTACCTATCACCAGGAATGCAACGACATACGAGTACGCGATACTTCACAGCAATGGACTATCAAAGAGAAAGATGCTTTTCACGTTCAAACTGTTGTTTACTATTATTATTATCGATGGATCTGTTTTCTTCGTAATCACACATAAAACAGTGAACACCCAGCCGATTCATCGTATCAACAGTCAAGTCTGGAGAAGGCGGTGTGGTGCGCAACATTGTTTGCACATCGACAATCCGCCCCCTTTCCAAACCGTCATGATACCCAACCCCGATCGGAGACCTTACTCTTATTCTTATAAGTAGACGGAATCCGAATCGAGAGTTGAGCGGGTTGCGTTGATGATCGGCGTGAGTGTCCACAAGAGATTCTTGCTTTGGGCACACACTACCGCTCGACAACCACAGTTTATTTCACTGTGGCTGCCGAATCAGTTCTGTAGAGGAAGAAAGAAACAAGGAAACTTGTGTCGTCGCGGCTCAGCAACCTGCTGCTGCTTCGCATGACGACGACCGTTTCCTTGCTCAGACTCCTCCTCAGTGGTTCTTTGCGAGCCCAAGCTGTTGTCAGAATGCTGGGATGGCACATGTGCAGGCCCTGCCGAAGGAATTCAGGTGGAGCGGTCCTTGGGGCTGACCCAACCCGGCTCGGAGCAACGCATTGCTCTGTAACGAGGCCGAATTGCCGCTGGTTCCTAGAAAGGAGTTTCGGTTGGTCTCACGGAGGCTCTGAAGGCGCGAGGACATGGCAATCATTTGCTCGATCATGGCACGGCGGGTCTCGTTGGCCTCTCGCTGAGAATTCAAGTCCGGCAAGGTGGTCGCAGCCTGTCCCAAGAAAGAGGCAGCACTTGGCAACAAGTGCCCACCAGCAAGCTGGTTTGGACTTAACGTAGAGAGCCCACCCGCGTTCAATCCGACCAAGGAAGTCGGAAAAGTGGAAGTATAAGTGGAAGGAGAGGGCTTGGCAGCGGCCAACCTGGGGAAGTTGACGCTCTGACGGACGGATGCCGGCGAAAAGGAAGGAGACGTAGCAGCTGCCGGCATGGTGGCTACGGGAGAGGCAGCAGCAGGCGGAGGCGGCTTGGGGGCAGCAGCGGCCTTCTTGTCAAAGACGAAGGACATGCTCCAAAAGTCGGGTTCAGTCTCAGGAGCCGCTGCCTTGCGAGCTCCGGTTCCCTTGACCTTGGTGCGCTGCATCTTGAGGGCCAACAAACCACGGCCACGAAGAAAGAGCTCATGGTAATAGCCTCCCTTGTCGCGTCCTTGCGTAATTCTGCGAAAGCCATAAAGGTTCAGCTGTCTCTGAAAGGAGGCAAACCTAGTCTGGCGGAAGCAGCTGTATGGTATGGTATGATATGAAATAAAGGAGAGGTGAGTATCAATGAGTTAAAGTGGTCCCAAGGAGAGGCCGTTCGGGTGAGGCCCAGCAACGAGAACTCAGTTCGGTAGGCTTCTACGCGCGGACCACGTAGAATCACCAAGAAAAGAACTCGATCCTCACCAGCTCATCAAGCAACGAATCAACTCACCATGGTAGAACTTTTTCCACAAAGTCCGCGTGCTTCTTCACAATGAAGCTGCGGCCATGAGGCTGCCAAGAAACGATATGAGCGAATCCATCTTCCTCACTTCCAGATAAGAGCTGGTGGAGCTTGACGGGGAAAGATTGGTCAGTTCCTTTGACACCTTCTTGGTCCGCCTTGTTCATCAATTCCTTCAGATCCTTGTCGTCGTCCGTAAGGTGCGAGTGATCGCGGTAAGGCTCCGTCGCAGTCGCCTTTCGCGGCGGCTGCTGCTGCTTCGCCACCATCTTGACTGTTGTGCTTTGGGCACGAGCTCGAGTGTTGCTAGTAGTAGCTGTCGTCTCTACTGCTAGCCTTTCTTCTTTCGCTGTGTCCATCCCGAAGCAAAACTCGAGGGGAGCAATAATTGTGATCGAAAAGGCTGTTGTTTTGCTGGTCGCTCCAAGATGGAATTCGCAGAGGGCAGGCGCGAATTCCGCACTTCCGCTTGACCGACTTCGCCTTTTTCTGCTGTACCGCCTGGTAGTCAACTCACGTACTTCTGCTACTAGTAAAGTCACCTCCATGTTCCTTTGCGGAGTGACAACTTTAAGTAAAATGTTTAACGCGATTTTGGCCAGGTAACTGGGGCAACATCTTTAAGTAATTTCACAGAAAACGGTACCGGAAGTTTCCAATTCTTCTCTCACTATCAAGAAATCATAATCCTTCAACCCTCTGGGTACGGGATTGTACACTTGTAATAGTTAGCATTTGCCAGAAAGCTAAGCCAAATTGTGTTTTTCGATTTGTAGGATCCCAATGTTCCTTTATGCAAGGATATAAAGACAGATACCCCAGAGGTTAAGTGATTGATCCTATTCTGAGATCCTCTCTGTTCCAAGCCATAATCTTTTTCAGCAAAAGCATTGTTTTGAATTTTTACCGACCCATTTCAATCTTCCAGGATCTTCGAAGCCAACCCACAATAGTGGTCAACTAGTACAGTCGTACGCTGTACCAGTACCCGCTGCTGGGGGTGGAGCCAGGAACCGTGCTTGAATGGGCAACTTTAAGCCCGAAAGCTTTCTCTATTCGAAATTCCCATCTCATCAGGCAGAGAAGACGACAGAACGCATATTGACTAGCTAGAGTACCGGTACAGTTGTGGTGTAACCAGATAGATACGAAAATACAGCTCTCTTGAAAAGGGTGGCACCCAGCTAGAGCCTACCGGTAAGATTTGGAACCACTTAAAATAAATCACCTGTGCCCTGATATGCCAGTACCGTACGAAGATCACCAAAGCAACTACACACAAACGCCGAGGCAAGATGGGCGAAATCACCTAGCTCCCGACAAACCTTCAATCAGCCAATACTGAAAGTGCCTTCTATCTTAAAGCTAAGGTGGAGTAGTTATCTTGGACCAGAGAAGGGTTGTCATCGTCAACTCATCGTCGCCGCGTGCCAGAAATAAATAATACTCTCGCGAACACGCTCTCTAAAAGAAATTGTTCCCGAAACGAGTTAATAAAATACCAGTGCGGCAACTACTCAAATGTACTTTACGTCAGACAGTCTGTTCCCTTGTCGCTGGGCAAGAGCTTCGAAGATCTTTTTAATATTTCCTTTTATAAAGGCAATCCCAGAAGTTAAATCATTTTCTATGACTTGAGAATGCAAGCATCTTTCTGTTCATGACAGATGCAGCATCTAATACGGGAACAATGCATCCATTGTATTCTTGCTGTGGAGTTTGGGATGATTTATTTTTTAGGGGGAAACAACATTGCACATCAAAAATGGGGGGTGTGAACTCTGCGCGTGCTGAGGAAAGAAGCTTCAGTTTCGTCGCAGGAAAGAGTTTTTGAGCCGCAAAATCAGAAGCCATTCAAGCTTGAAACAGCTTCTAACTGCGAAAAAACGTCTGAAGTCTGAAGCGTGTGAACTACTAGCTGAAAGAGCGTCTACATACATGTAGCGTCCAGCAGCCTGCCCCTCCCGGGTTCCGAATCTACGATTTTTATCGGTTCTCAAAAGCTTTTTCAATAAACGTACTTCCTTAGCTCTTCCTGTCACGATTTACCTCGGCCGGTAAACTGCCAGAGTTCTCAACCCCTTTACAGTACCTCGGCAGGTAATAAACTGCCTGAGTTCTCAACACCTTTTTAATTAATGCTATTTACTATTTACTATTACCTCGGCAGGTTAACTGCCTGAGGTGCGTTCCTGACCAAACTCCATGTGTGTCCTCCGTGCATACGCGAAACACATTTATTTTCATCGATATATTTAGGTGTACGTATCAAGATTTCATTCCTATCCATGTGACACACATACACGGTACGCGAAAGAAACATCACCTCGAATCCCCAACTCTAACGAAAATCAAAAATCGATGAGGAGGTACCGGTACTCGTTAGCTAATAGCCACTAGCTAGCTAGCTAGCTACCAACAGACCAATCTTCACAACCAAGAAGGCTAGCAAAGTTATTAGCATGTAGGTTACTCTTGGTTAATGGCTTGGTTGTTAACCTTCTTGGTTGTCGAGATCGGTTTGTTGGTAGCTACTGTACAGTCGTACTGTAGCTTCGATCGAACGCTCGCTTTCATTCCATCGACCACCGAACGAGGTCAAACTAGTTCATTAGAGTTGGGGATTTGTGACCGTGACTGAGTTCGGCTTACTCGAGCGTTTTGATTGGTCCTACGCGAATTCTTCTTCCCCATTAATTTCGGTACGGCGAATTGAGAATGCAAAATTGCAGATACGCCGTACCAAAATTAATGGGCAAAAAGAGGGAAAGCAAGCCAACTTTAACAGTTATCTCGATTTCGCGTACGTACGGAGGAATAAAGAGGTCAAAATGACTGGTTAGGAACGATCCTGAGTTCTCAACCCCTTACCTCGGCAGTCTATCTGCCTGAGCCCTCACCCCCTTTTTTGGTATTTCCTGTTTCTTGTTTCCTGTTCCGGTGAAGCCAAAATTTAGGGATAGAAATAGGCGTAAGCCAACAAAACTGGAAATTGAAGGTTCTACAAATTTAGGGGTAGGAATAAATCATGATTATTCAAGGTTAGTTCACTCAACACAATAAGCCTGTAGAAGCTACAAAAGTTACAGGTACATACGGGAGTGACAGCTGTAAAATTATGGTTAGCGGGCGGCAACACACGACGAAGTCGGGTGTTGTCGCCAGGGCTAGCTTAAATAAAAAAGAAGGTTATAATGAGGGAATGATACCCGGCGGCAACACACGACGAAGTCGGGTGTTGTCGCCAGGGCTACCTTGAAAGAAGGTTGCAATCTCAAACATGTCATCCTTCTTCTATCTGTCTTTCTGCCGAGGTATCGCAGCTCCCGCTGACTTATAATGCTATTCCGGTGAAGCCAAAAAATATAGGGATAGAGATAGGCGTAAGACAACAAAAGTGGAAATTGAAGGTTCTACAAATTTAGGGGTAGGAATAAATCATGATTATTCAAGGTTAGTGCACTCAACACAATAAGCCAGCAGAAGCTACAAAGGATACAGTTACATAAGGGAATGACAGCTGCAAAATTATGGTTAGCGGGCGGCAACACACGACGAAGTCGGGTGTTGTCGCCAGGGCTAGCTTAATAAAAAGAAGGTTGCAATGAGGGAATGAATCATACCGGGCGGCAACACACGACGTAGTCGGGTGTTGTCGCCAGGGCTGGCTTGAAAGATGGGTGCAATCTCAAACATGATCCTCCTTCTTCTATCTGTCTTTCTGCCGAGGTATCGCAGCTCCCGCTGACTTAGTGACTATGGTTTTATAAGCCAGGCTAGCCTCTTAGATATCATGGATACTTAGGCTATGCCATCTCTTTCAGAGGAGCTCACATTATCCAATTCATCACCAACTATCTCCAATCAATCTCCAATCATCTCTAAATCAATAGCTAGTACAATAACCTAGACCCCACAATCAAGCCTATCCTAGTGCACTTCCTTACAAGGGCGGGGTTTAGAGCGCATACAGGAGAAGTCTTTCATCAACTGGTATTGTTGCACCTGCTTCGACTTCTTTTCTAACTTGAGTGATTGCCAAACGGAATGGTTGAGATTGATCGTCTACACCGAATTCTTTGAATGGATTCATCTGGATATCCAAAAGGATATCGTTGACGCGTGCGCAAGTGCTGAAGATTGCAGGACCGATTAGGTGGTGCAACATAGTATCGCGCCTCGGGGCATGTGCTTGCTGGCTGATCATAGAAGCCATATTCATACATTCAAAACAGAGCATCTCCAAAGTCAGCTGCTTTGCACTGTTTGAGGTACAAGCAAATCTTCTGACGGAGGATTTTCGTATCTGAACTTGTGACGTAGATTCTATCGTCTCATCTCGAGGCCAATCGTAGTATGCGGCGTGTTATTTGAGACGTTGTTTGCAAGATTCATGTAGTGCCATGAAACTTGAACAAACGTAAAGGAACTTCTGCACATAAAATCTCCGGCTTGACTCTCGTCAAAGGTTGGGAACGAATCTCCAAACGTTGCTGTGGAGACTCCAGCCAGAGTCGAATATACCAACACCGCATTCCTTGGCCGCGTGGGCAACTCGCAAGCCGTCGACCACTTCTGCTTCGAAGCTCGTACTGTAATGAACCAAGCTCCGAGTTCCAAGTAGCGGTACGGGTCGGTTCCATGCCTGCCAGCTGTGGGAGTGGAAGACCTTCATTTCAGTCCTGATCAGAGGAGCTACGAGACTCAGTCGAATCAATCGAGTCGAATGACAGTCACTCTTAGCAGTCCCTGGTCTTCGGCACTGGTGCCACCGGTACCGGTCCGTGTGAAGCCCTAAATTTTGCTTGGTGACTTTAACTCCGGAGTTGCAGCTTGCTCAGCCACCGGTCACAAAAAGACGACACAGGATGGCACTGGTCACAAAAACACAACGAAGGATGCCCTTCAAGTTTTCTTTCAACTCTGCTCGGATGAGGTGTCTCTTCTAGGTAGCTAGTACTAGTAGTCACCAAGTCAACTTCAGCAGCAGAGGGATGGACTGCTTGGTCTCAAACATCTTGTCGTTTGTAGTGAGAGACAAAGGCATTCGCACCGAGTAGTCGCATTTCAGTAGTATCATCATCATCCACAAGAGAATTGACCAACCAAACGCCACCACAAGATTTCACAAGAAGCCATGAAAAGCTCGTTCCAAAATAGCACTTCGAGTGATTATGACGATGTGGAAGTAAACAAGAACAAAACGAGATCAGTCCATTTTCTCTGTGCTCTGGGAGTGCTTATATTCATGGTATTCATGTCCACACATGCTTCCTCGCAGTTCAGAAACGAGGCAGTTTTTGTGTCGCTAAAGAATAATACTGCTTCACATGTGGCCACGACAACCGCTGTGATCACGCCAGAAGAAGAATCAACAACAAGATCGCGAGTGCCCTCTCCACAGGGAGCTACCACAAACAGCGAGAAAGAACCGGGTATTACCAACGTGACTGTGTTTCTCACCACACCGGAAAACCCCTCAGACAGCATTTTCAAAGCTGGAACTCTGCATCGCTTTGGTTCTGGAAAGATTCGCTACAACATTCAAGAGGGGAACTGCACGTGTGACAACACTACCGAGCCAGTGATAGTGGAACCTCCCTGCTTGGCTGTCAGTCAGTTTTGTGACAGTCGAATTCTCAAGTGCCATTATCCACGGTGCAAAACGGTGATTACCAATGATGAACGTTGCAGGAAAAAAGGGAGAAGATACGATGTGAGAGAATACTACAACGCCGATTTCCCCAGCAAACCATACCTGCCTCTGGGACCACGGTTAGATTCGTGGACATCCTTTCAAAAGATCAAAGCCAGCAAGGGGGGTCAATTCACCATTATTCCAGCATCCAAGCGCAAGTATGCATTTAATGCCATATTTTCCAAGTCGACCAATGATGGTCGGGTGCGACTTGCCAATATCATCGATAACAGCCATCACAACAACAATACTAATAGCCAGCTGACCATTTTTGCTCAAATGGCCGAGAGATGGGTCAAAAACATCAACAATCCAAAACGGAAATCAGGTCATTTGCATACAGACCAGTACATCCAGGTTGTTCTGGACAGCACATTCACGTTGGCACCCACAGGGCATAATCCAGAATGCTTTCGGCTTTATGAAGCCATCGAAGCAGGATCCATTCCGGTCTTTGCCCGGGATGAAGATTATGCCAATCAAAATTGTAAGGAATCACTCCACGCCTGGTTGGACGTGGAACCCAAAGCGCCCATCCTGGTGCTCGACTCGTGGGATGATGTATATTCTACAATTGAAACGTTGTTGCAAGATCCAGCAGCACTGGATGACCGGCAGGCCCAGCTTTCGAAATGGTATAAAAAACACATGCGCAAGGTCACGAAAAAGTTTGAACGATACCTCCTGAGAGGACAGTAATAATGAAACTAGAAGAAGAAGCTGCCTTTACATGGAGGTTTGCAAGCCAGTGAGGTGAATGTGCACACTCTAATCATATCTTTTTGGATAGCTAAAGGTCTTCGTCTGTTACTTGTTTGGCCAGCTCTAGTTTGGGCTCCGGAGCAGCCATGTCGTTGTCGTTGTCGTCTTCGTCTTTGCTGTTATCGTCGTCTTCGTCTTGGCTGTTATCGGGTGTCTTGTTGTATTCCACTTCTACTTCTCCCTTTTCCATGTCTTCTTCTTTTAATTGTTTGGCTAGCTCCAATTGTTGCATCTCATAGGGCCGTCCTCCCAGCAAGGAAGGATAACAACTGAAGCATTTTGACAAGACACCGCTGAACATGATGGTCCCAAAAATGGGGTAGTAAATGATGTAGGTGAATATGAGCTCCACAAAGTAGCTGGCAACAAAGAGATAGTCTTCAAAGTTCTGTTCCTTGTAGAGTGATTCCAACTGTTCCTTGACGAGAATGTGGGACTCCAAAATATCGGGGATGTCACTGGCCATGACAATGGGGGCTTCAGTAAAGTTGCTGGAGTCAAATGCGTCAAGCTCTGTCATCAAGAATGCTGAAGTATAATTGGTGCCATTGGTGTCATTGAAAAGAGGACTAAAGTCAAACTCAATAACAGTATTGCTGGATTCAAGAGAAGCTCGCAGCATGACAGAAAAGGATGTAATTGCCATGACCACAAGGACAACAAGAGTGGTCATGAAGGCGCCTGATTTGCGACAAGTATTGGCTGCTTTGATACTGGCTGAGCTCCAGCATATTGAAGTGTTAATTGAAATGCGCCTACTCGCCAGCGCCACGCAAAGCCTCGTACGAGAGTCCACTGAAGGGTGTCTGACCCAAAAGAACGCAAAGCACCAAATTTCCAGAAGTGACAAGATACTTGTGAGATGGCACTGTCCAAGTCACTATTGCACCCTGTACTGTGAAATTTAGGTGGGTGACTTCGCAGATAGTTGTTTGATCGAATCCTTGATGGACAGCAACGACAAGTGACAGTCAGCAGCACGTTGTCATGGCCAATGCCAAACAACATACTTGCCAAAGAACTAAAGCTTAGCGAATCTTCGCCAACTCAATGGTGAAATTTGCTGATGCAGGCATGATGCCAAACACAGGGTTGATTGTTAGGTGTTGATACGCACACGGCAGTCCTGGGTCAGGTGTCTGACTGGCAAATGATAGGCATGCTGGAGCAAATATGGTATAATTTCATCGCGTTCACGTTGTTCTTCTTCTGTCAATCCATTCGTATCCTCTTCTTCTTCTGGTTCATCTTGGTGCTCTTCAATGGGCATCCCCTCTTCCACATCCAGTGGTGGGGCAGGATGAGGACTGATCTCTGTGGCCGGTTCATCTTGGGGCTCTTCAATGGGCATCCCCTCTTCCACATCCAGTGGTGAGGCGGGAGGAGGACTGATCTCTGTGGCCAATGCGGCCGACTTCATTGTGCTAGAGTCTTGGCTTAATTGGTTTGTCATCTTGTCCCTTTTATGATGGTCCTTTCGGGATTGTTGGGGTTGATGGGGGCGCCGCAGCATTGGTCTTCGTCGGTTCGAAGTTCCGAGTAGATGGCACGACTCAAGTTGATAAATCTTTTGTGTGTGACAATTTTAAAAGTTGGTTTCGGAAGAGCACCCGGCATGACCGCACCAATGCTATTAATAGCTACACTGCCGGTATGGTACTAGTCTAGTACCGTACGGTAGCCAGTTGTTAGGTTCGAGTCGGCGAATGTGACATGCTCTGTGTTCTACCGTGCCCATTCACGGCTTTGACCGAGGACGACAAGGTCCAAGCATGAGGGAAACCCAGGACCTCTCAACCTCTCAAGGTAAATTATCGATGACAACTGTATGATTCAAATGCCTCGGTTGGAACAGGCACAATGCAAGCAGCTCTCCCTTTCTCAGTATCTCCGTCAAACAATACTCGAGTACCGTACATCTCGAAAGGGTGGAAAGATGACTGCCCCCATGAAAATTTGAGTAACCCGCCTCCAAGATTGCCCCCGGCTTTTTGCAATAATGGCGAAATCAAAAGAGGTGCGATCAGCCCCTTCTTTTAGCCATGATGGATCCTTGGAAGCAACAGTGCAACGTTACATTACCAGGGTTTGGTGCATTTTCGAAATCTTCATGGCGCACACCAGATGGATGTTACGTTTGTAGTGTACGACAGCCACCTACAATCATTAGCATTGATTGCTGTTCTATCTTTAATTAAGTAATGTCAGACGCCAGCAAAATTCCTAATCCACGGCATCGTTGTATTCCTCATCTGAGAGGTACCGTAAAATCGAACAAACTACCTAGAGCCTGCTCGTCGCCTTGTTGACAACGTCAAACCGATCAAGCTCCATCACCTTGGCAAAGGCAGCGCTGAAATCACGAGCAAACCGTCCTTGACTACCTGCAAGGGCATATGTTTCTGCCAATCCACGAAGCACGCTGTGCGATCCAAAGATGAGATCCACCCGACTGGCATTGGGCCAGACGATACGTCCAGTCTTTCGGCACACTCCTTGATACGAATTGTTGTTGTTGTTGCCTGATTTTGCTGGTTTCCATTCGATGGCATCATCCAGTAGATTGACAAAAAAGTCGTTGGTCAACTGCCCCACACGATGCGTCAATACTCCACTACTACTAGTACCACCACCCACACCCAGAGCGCGAAGACCTCCTACCAACACTGTCATTTCTCGTGCTGTCAATGCCAAGCGATCCGCCGTTTCGACCAACCATTCTTCTGGCTTTGCTGTTTCCATGGCGACGTCCTTTGCCAGAAAGTTGCGAAACCCGTCGGCTCTTGGTTCCAGCACGGCAAACGATTGGACATCCGTCATGGCTTGTGTGGCATCGGTACGTCCCGGAGTGAATCGCACTGGCACGTCGGATACCGCTTCAATGCCGGCACATCCACCCAGTACAATCAAATCGGCCATGGAAACTTGCACGGGAAGGAACTGTAGGTGAAATTCGCGTTGAATCGATTCCAAGATAGCTAGGATGGGCTGTAATCCGTTGTTGCATTCCCAGTCCTTCTGTGGTGCGAGCCGAAAGCGTGCTCCATTGGCTCCTCCTCGTTTGTCGGTTTGTCGAAAGGTCGATGCCGATGCCCACGCGACAGAAACGAGTTGTGTTGGGGTGAGTCGGGAGAGCATTTGCTGTTTCAACCAAGCACGATGACGAGGAGCTTCAATGGTGGGGTAGGTTTGGGGTGGTACAGGGTCTTGCCATAACTGCGGCGGTGGCACCTTGGGTCCCAGACAACGAGCAATGGGCCCCATGTCACGGTGCGTGAGCTTGTACCATGCTTTGGCAAACGCCTCTTGGAAGGCTTTTGGATTGGCATGAAATCGTTTGGAGATTGTGGCGTATTTGGGATCCATTCGTAAGGCAAGATCGGATGTCAACATGATGGGTAAATGCTGTTTGGACGCATTGTGCGCATCGGGGACACCGGCCCCTCCGTAATTTTTAGGAATCCATTGCTGAGCCCCCGCCGGACTCTTTGTGAGTTCCCATTCATATCCAAAGAGCAGATCAAAATATCCATGGTCCCAGCGAATAGGGTTGACCGTCCAGGCTCCTTCAAGACCCGACGTGATAGTATCACCACCCTTGCCAGTGCCCATGGTATTTTTCCATCCCAATCCTTGTTGTTCGATGGAAGCTCCTTCCGGTTCGGGACCCACAAATTGTTCTGGATTTCCAGCGCCATGCGCTTTTCCAAAGGTATGACCACCAGCAATCAATGCCACCGTCTCTTCATCGTTCATGGCCATGCGGGCAAACGTTTCTCGAATATCTCTGGCACTGGCCACTGGATCGGGTACTCCGTTGGGTCCTTCTGGATTGACATAGATCAATCCCATTTGAACGGCTCCGAGTGGTTGTGCCAAATTTCGTTCGCTTGCTTTAGTACTATTGCCAGTAGCATATCGATCGCGATTGGCATCGAGCCATTTGGTTTCACTGCCCCAATCGACGTGATCTTCGGGCCATTCGACATCGACTCGACCTCCGGCAAAGCCCATGGTAGGAAATCCCATACTCTCCAAAGCGACATTTCCCGTCAGAATGAACAAGTCGGCCCAACTGATGCGAGCTCCGTATTTTTGTTTCAAGGGCCACAAGAGACGACGCGCCTTGTCCAGATTCCCATTGTCGGGCCACGAATTCAACGGCGCAAATCGAAGTTGTCCAGAGCCACCGCCGCCACGGCCATCCCAGATACGATGCGTGCCGGCACTGTGCCATGCCATGCTGGACACAACAAAGCAACAAGAAGACGAGATGATGAGAATCAGAAAGAAAAATACAAGAAAATATTGTTCTTTCCGTATATATGGTACGTACCGAATAAAGAAGGGTCCATAGTGCCCATAATCCGCGGGCCACCAATCGACCGAAGAAGTCATCAACTCCTTCAAGTCTCGTTCCACAGCCGAGAGATCCAACTGGGCAAACTGTTGCGCGTAACGCTGCGATTCCTTTTCGGCGTTGTTGTTCTCATTCTTTTTCAAAATCGAAACGTCCAGTTGTTCGGGCCACCAATCGGCAGGACTAGTTCCTTTATTGCCCTGCTTGAAGGATCGAGCATGATGCATGGGGCACGATGAAGGAGGTGGGGGTGTCATGGTTGTTGTGGGAGAAAATACTGTTGCTATTACTGCTAACTGCATGGACACGATTATGTATGTGATCAAAAGAAGAGGAAGGTCCAAGCAAGATAAGAGGCAGTGACGCGATGGTGGCAAAGAGATCTTTTCCTGGGGCGTCCGTGACGTGGCAAAGATTCATTATCATTCGTGTCAATCAGGTGACCACTCCTGCAAGCAAGTATGAATGAGTCCTGCAAGCAGGGGGAGGCTCCGTTAATCGCCAACGTGTCATAATTTAGACAAATGATCAAGCGATTGGCCGTTGTTGTGCATGGATCAAGCCATCCAACCCTTTCTTGAACCATTCTTCATCATTCTGCTTCCTTGGACAGCTGACCCATAATCACAATCAGCCAACTGTGTCAAGAACGTTAGGTCAAGCTAGCCCAGGTCAACATCAGCATCGAAATCAGCCAAAGAAGATGAGTCAATACGAGCATGGGTACATTATGGGTCCTGCCTGGATGCTTCGGGCTTTGGGAATAGAATTTCCGTTCTTTTGTCCCGTCTTTGGCTTGTTGGGCGTCAAATGCCGATTGCAGCCGGAAGCTGCATGCGACGATCATGCTCGATGCTTGTCGGGTTGGTGCAAGGATGGAACCTGCTTTGATCCATTGGCGGGTGGAGCGTTCTGTGAAGAGAACGAACAGTGTCTCAGTGAAGAGTGCGTCACTCAGAGCTACTTTGACAGATTCGCTGGAGACTTTAACAATCGACGGGAACTGCGAGGACCACTCATTCCGGTCAAAAAGGATGACGATGAGCAAGACAATTTGGCGGCTGCTGGAAACAACGAGACGAGAGTTTGCATGGTTACCCGACTCCGGTTGGGGTCCTACTGCTTTGGAAACGAAGAGTGTGCATCTCAGAGATGCGAAATCTACGATTGCTTCTTGGCGCTGGTGACCAATTGCTGGTAAGTAGACAAGTAACGAAAGTAACTTCGTCATGCGTCATCATGGCAGCGTACCGCTCACATATTTATTGCAACTGCCCGCTTTTATAATCGAATCGAATCTGCCAGGGATGTCTGTGTCCCTCAAAGTGGCACGGGACAGGCGGGAGACTTTTGTACCCGCAACGAGCAGTGTGAGAGTAATATTTGTGCTTACTCAGGCTTGGTCTCGGAGCTCGAATGCAAAAGTCCAGATTTGAATTAGACTAATGGAGTATTTGATGACAACCTGCACCAACAGCGACTACCAGTATTCAAGAAACCAACCTCAATCTACTCTCCCAATCGTCATGGATGCATGCGTTGCGTACTCCTACATCGCAGTGTTTTCTTTGTCGCTTGGGTGAATCGAATCGAGTCACTTTTGGCTCATGTCCAATGAGCTCTCTTTTGTTTTAGAATCTTACTACCAGAACCTCACCGTTGGGACCTTTGTGCTAGCACGGACTTGCTTGGGAATTCAAAGCAAAGTATCGATCTAATCTCTCTAGTGAATTTGCCGTACTACCGATGCGCATGCAAAAAAGCTTGTCCTTATTAGACGGCAGGCATACGTCTTGTGATCTACTAGAAGGAACATGTAGCTAGCGGTATCTGTATAGCTAGCCATTTACACTCTAGCCAGCGTTACGCGTAGCCATACTCTTAGAGAGCCAGACGCTGCCTTTTGATGGCTGGAGTCAAGTCTGCCCACGGTCGGCGGCTGACGGTTTGGTTGGTGGAGGTAGGTGACTATTGGTTAAAATTCAACTCTCATTATGTTAGTATAAACTGTTTCTCGCAGAAGGATGTTGATAACGTGAACAATTAGTGCCTTTTTCTCGATGATAAATACCCAGCTAGAATCGCGAGTCCCCACAAGGACACGAACATCCACAAAGGAATGACGAGCAGTCAAAGATCAAGGACGGAATACTGCAAAGCCCATCTGGAATTCTACCTTCGATAGACGTGCCAGCAATATTGAGTTCGGCCAAAGATTCATTCAAGTTGCTAAGTTCAAGGGGGAATGTTCCAACGAGCCCTGGGTTGTCCCCAAGATCAAGAGTCCCAATGGAAGATAGCAACCCAAGCTCTGATGGCACGGCACCGGAGAGTTGGTTCCTTGACAGAGTCAGTTTTTGCAGATTTGGGAGGCTCTGACCCCAGTCAGATGGAATAGTCGAAGCGAATTCGTTTGTATCAAGGATCAGCCCCGCTAATCCAGACATGGTAGCTCCATTGAAATCTGGCAGCTGCCCAGTGAACTTGTTCTTGCCCAGATCCAAGCTTCTGAGACTAGACATCTCAGAAAAAAGACCAAATGGAACTGTGCCAGTCAGTTGGTTTTGTGCCACATCTAGCTTGAACATGTTTAACCGAGCAAATTCTGATGGCAGCGACCCTGTGAAACGATTGTCCCCCACCAGGAGCTCAGAAAGTTTATCCGCAAGGGAGCTCAGGTCGGGTGGGAGTGTCCCAGAAAAGTCACAAGAATGCAACCGAAGGGATCTCAGATTGGTCATTCTCTCCAGCATCATTTCACTGATAGGTCCTCCAATAGGATTGAAACTTGTTGTGAGGGTTGTGAGAGTATTGAGCAAACCCATCTCTGGTGGAAAGCTCCCGCCCAAGTTGTTGCGAGTAACATCCAGAATGGTAAGTATTCCATCAACGTTGCAGGGACCTTTGTCTTGTTTTTTGGCTGCCAAGGAAAACCAGTCACATTCGGAATGTTCGTAGGAGAGCCATGGTTGTGAAGTGATATTGACTGGCTGAAAGTTGCCAGTGGCCTTTTTGACTGTAGGCGGTGGTCTCTCTGCGATGAATCGATTGAATCGCAGCCGTCGCTGGACTCTTCTAAGCCCGCCTCCTCCGTTGGGTCTGCCTCCGCCACTTGGCTCACCATCACTGCCTTCGTTGGGTTTGCCTCCGCCTCCTCCATTGGGATTACCTCCACCGCTCAGCTCGCCATCCTCACCATCACTTCCTCCGTTGGGCTTGCCTCCACCACTCGGCTCACCACCGCTTCCTCCGTTGGGTTTGCCTCCGCCTCCTCCGTTGGGCTTGCCTCCGCCACTCGGCTCACCACCACTTCCTCCATTGGGCTTGCCTCCGCCTCCTCCGTTGGGTCTGCCTCCACCACTCGTCTCACCAAACATCACTTCAACTGTGCCACCACCTTGATGTGTCCACGATGGCCCATTAGTGGAATAGTAGAATGTTGTGAGTAGGAAACGCTGAAGGAGTCTTTGCTCCGAGTACTTTGATAGGTAAGGATCGTCTCTGATCCATGCATATGCCTTTCCTTGTGGTGTCGTGTAGTTGACATCAGTTTGGATTATTTGCATTGTAGCTTCAGGAAGCGAGAAGGGCAGCGACTTGAATGTTCCCGATTCGTCACTATTGCCACTGTTGCCTGTGGCGTCTTGGTTCGTTGAGAAGATGTCTGAGCTTGAACTGACATTTTTGGTGTTTGAATCTGTGCCTACCAAAACGACAGTGACAATGACAGACAATAACGCCACAACGAAAACAATTGGTATTGTCAGACGCACAAGACAAGCTTTTTCCTTGTCTCCTTGCGCACGGCCCTGTTCGCATGACCCGTCAGTCCCATTGGCCCCCGTCACCGGCTGGGCAGTCCCTGATACTAGTATTTCTATAGCATGATCTTCCACTGGTCTTGCCTCGACCAACCCCTGGTTGTTGGCTACTGGGGCCGGAGGAGCAGAGAGCCACCCAATCAAATCCACATTTTGATTCTGTTGCTCTGATTCGAATGATTCGTCAACACTGTCGTCCTCGACTGTCGCTCCCAGACCTCCCACCGCGTAAGCACCAGGACCAGGACCAGGTGCTCTCCATTCTTGACGAGGTCCCTCGTCTTGGGTCCCCGAATGACTGTCACTTAGCTGCGTCCTTGTACGTCGCCTCTCAAAACCTGGATCACGGGGGTGCAACGACATTGCAAGCTCATCCACGTCAATGACTTTACCAAACTTGCGAGCTTCATGAAGGTTCACACTGTTCACACTTGCAAGTTCATCCACGTCCACGACATTGCGACGGCTCAGTCTTTCTTTAGCTCTTTCTTTGCAGGCCACGGAGGCATGCGCCGATGGAGGCTTGAGGAGATTATCATTTCCATCATTGCCAGTACTGGTACCAGTACTGGAACCGATGCTTTGGCGGCGATCATGAGAGCTGTTCACCGGCGCATTTCGCGTCACCAACGATTTCTCCAGTAATACCTCCAGTATCGTGTCCGCTCTGGAATGCTGAGAGCTGTGGTGAGAGATGTCGGTCAAAGACGCTGTCGACGGCTTTTGCCTCGGCCCTTGCTCCTTCTGTTCCTTCGTCATGGTCTGCTGTCTGTGGCGCAAAATACAAAATACAAGTCTCAGAACCAAACAAATCTCGGCAGCGACTTGACTTGTGTGAAGCAGCTTGTGAGGCACGGTGTCGAGCAAAAACTCGATCGGACCAGCTACCAGCTACGAGTACCGTATCGGACCTCGGCGTACTGCTATCACCTACCTCTTTTGAGCAAAGCATCGTACCGGTAGGTACTGGAACTATGGAATAGTAGTGTACTAACTATGTCATAGAGTGTGATCACCACCCCTGACCCAAGACCAAAAAATAAATGAAAATAAAAAATAAATAAATGCAAAATGCATCTTCAAAGTTCACGCGAATGAGCCAGTGGTTCCGACAGTTCCCAGACAGTAGGATCAGGATTTAAAAGAGTTTCTCTAGCTTGGAGAACGTGCAGTCAATGGTCAAATAAATGGTCAGCCGTACCAGTACTAAGTCACAATGCATCCCAACATCCCAACCGTACCTCGCAACTCGCAACCTCTCTCGCTCTCTTTTCTCAGAGAAAGAAGCCAGTAGACAGTCGATGTGTGCGGTGATCGCATCAAAAGCACTAGACTAGACTAGCTAGACCTCCGGTATTGCTCCTGCATGTACTTGCTAGGGGGGGGGGGCGAGTGGAGAAAATCAATGCCATCCATACTGCTTTCAGTCATGGAGCCACACCTCTTTTTACCAGTACACTATTTACCACTGAAAATAAGAGTGGTTCACGGTGCCACTGTTTACCACTGCATACCCTTGTCACGGTTTACCTTGGTTGGCATGGAATGGCACTGGATTTCTCCACCCCAGTTGGTCAGAAAGCGACATCCCTTGGAATTTTGGCCACCACCCACCTGTGCACCTTTGGCCACTGGCTATTATTATTTTTCAAAGTCAAGGTTTCGTTAGGACAAATAAATAACCATTGATAGCTCCAATGCTATTTTAATTGACTGTCATGAAAGGGTCACCGAATCAGCCGTTGTTGTCAGGGGCATAACCGTGACTATTAGCCGCGTTCTCTGCACTCACTCCTCTTCTTTCGGGCATTCGAGTGATCCATTATTGGACTCGATCGGACCTCGGACAAACTCCAGGGTGCGGTTAGCTGTGCGGTATAATACCGTCGGTACCTGTGAACGGTGTGAATTCGTACAGCATCGTACACTGTACTGGAGGGGCTCCGCTGACGTCATGATGATTCCAAACTTTCTGGTGAAACAACCTTTTGGCGAGACTCGCACGACTCGCAAAGCTTGACTGGCACACGAGTCATGCGAGTTTCAAAGGAAAATGCGAGTCTGTGCGAGTCCATGCGAGTCCTTGCGAGTCTCTGGTAGCTTTTTTCATGGTAAAAGCCGCGAGTCTGTGCGAGTTTGTGCGAGTCTACGCGAGTTACAGGCTAATGACGCGAGTCACACGAGTCATGAGTCATGTTTGCGAGTCTTTGGTGCTTTCACGTCCAAGCAAACAGTTGTTCCTCGCCAAAAGTGACGTCAGGGGAGCCCCTCCTGGACTGCGGCTGTGGCAAGCAACTTCACCTTGTGACCACTGGTTCTACCGTATCTATTAAAATTAAATAGCTATCTAGTAGCTAGCTAGCTTCATCTCTGCTCTCTGCTAATACTGGACCTCTGTGGAAACGTCATTCGCGGCAAATTACTTAGGAGACGATACACCAAGGCTTAGGAGACGAACGAAATGATTTAAGAGACGAAAGCAATCGTCTCCTATATTTAGGAGACGATTCATTAGGAGACTTTCCATTTAGGAGACGATCGTTTCGAAATAGGAGACGATCCGAAAGATTTAGGAGACGATACCATACAGTTTACATGGTGCACTTAGGAGACGATCCGTTGAGAATAGGAGACGATCCGTTGAAAATAGGAGACGATTTAAGAGGAGACGAAAGATTTAAGAGACGATCCGTTTCGTCTCCTATTTTTAGGAGACGAAATCCGTTAAATAGGAGACGATCAAAAGGATTTAGGAGACGATCGGTTGCACGACTCGAGTTTCCACAGAGGTCCTGAGTACCTGGTAGTACTTGGCAAAGCATCGCAAGATTCATCATATGATACAGGATTTAAAGGGAGGATTCCCCCCAAAGAAAGAAAGCAGGAATGTTGCGACAGCAATTAGAGCACCAAGTGGCCGAGCAGTATCCAGGGGGGAAAAGCGACACGATACTAGTACCATCTGAACTTCAGGAAGGATTTGAGCCTCCTGCTACTCCAGCGAAAAAGTTGAGAATTCTCAAACCTACTGGCTCCAACACAAATCTGAAGATCAAGTTGAGAATTCTGCAATCACCCTAACCCAAACCATAAAAAATCCTGCTGCTGATTCTGAGGAGTTATCATCTTTTTCAAAATTCGGCTTTTTTTCAGCGTTCGTCTCCTGTTCCTCAGTTTGCTCGCTACCTGGTACTTGGATCCATATGACGAATACATGCAATCCAGCCATCGTAGCTAGCTACCGTAGAGTTCATCGATCGGTGACAGTGGCAACAGTACCGAACACACTCAGGTTCGGCTTTGCTCGCTGCACTCGTGCAATACACGGCTCTTAGCCTTATTCGCGACTCGATCCTAGATAGGGTTTGAGTTCGACTCATGACTGAGTCTCTCGTGAATAGTCATTTGAGACAGGGTTACTCAATGACGCGCTAGTCATACTAGGTGATATGAAACATCGCTTAGATATTTAGCCAGCGTGGAGTACTTCCACGCTACTAGATAAATGTAGACGAATCTTCACGCGTTCCTTTTGGATCGTGAGTGAGTAGGATTGCTACGCAACCTACTCTATCACACTCTACAGTCCCCGCGGGAGTTCATATCTACGATCCTTTGATTGTGGATCTCTCTCATTGATTAGTTTTCATAGCTTTCTAATCCTCTCAAACTTTCATTCTCTCAAACTCAAACACTCGAAAGATCTTTACACTAGCTTTTAGCGTAGTGCATTTTGTTAACAAACACATAGCTTTCAGCTACCCTAAACATATTCCTTCACCATTAAGATGCCAAGACGCATTACCCACTTCGAGTAACTGGCGTGACAAACCAATCTTCTCTCTCATCGACCTCGACGATGAAGCGAAATCGCGATTCTCGCTCTACCACTACAAACTTCGCACTGTTCAGCCAATGCTAACAGCGCCAAGTACACCGTTCAAGGTCCAAATCATCAAGGATCTGAGACTCACGTCACCATCAAGTGCGGTGGACGTATGGAGAAGTCTTCGTCGGGCTCGCCATGCTACGCCTGCGACAAAAACACCTCCTCAAGGAGATGACTTTAGGCTCTGCCTAGAGAGTTACGAATCTAGCTGTGCAGGCCACCGTGAAATCGTTGGAATGCCTTGCGCAGTTGCAGTCAACGCATTCCTCCACGCGACTACGTCGGTGGTGAAGAGAAGCCATTTCCAAGCACGTTTCCAGGTGCCTGGAACGGAGCAGCTCAGCCTGCTTTGGACATGGACATTACTTTGGCATAAATTCCTGTGTCGAAGCGGTCTGTCCCTACAAGGCTCTCGAAACAGAAACGCTTATGCGTCGCAAGATGCGTAGCCTGCTGATATGTCTACTGGCTTATGTCAACAACCTCAGTCGGATGAATCCGAGGAAGCTTCCACGTTTCCACCTTTGGACCCAAACAAACAGTGAACACATGACGAAGTCATAGACATTGTTTGTCATGGAATCCACGCTTCGTGGATGAAGAAGATGACGTAACACTACTTCGATCCTTTCTCAGCCTATCGGAGAAACCATTGGATTCGTGCGAACGCATGGAATTCCTCGCGAAGACTTGACAAGGGCGGTGATGCCAAGCCAAGCTCCTTCAAAGAAGAACAACAGCAAGAAGTATAAGTTACTCGCAACAACGACCACTCTCCAAGAACAATGAAAAATGGTCGACTACCACCAGTCCAGCAACTCACACACGACACTGCTGACTGCATGACTCTGAAAGAGCTCAAGGCCAAGTCTCAGTCCTCGTCTTGACAACAATAACAAGCCGGCGTACACAAGAACAAGACTGGAAACGAAGTCCGACGAGCGCCAGTCCTACACCAGACAGGAACTTCTGTCATCATGAAGAAAGTTTCCAACGCTCTCGGTCAAGGCTGATCGCAAGAAGAAAAGACGAATATGCAACCATGTTGCCCAACAGCCAAAGTAGACAACTCCGACAACGAGGACGACTCTCTGTTGGATCCATCAACATGATGGACAAGAAATGGCTGCCGTTGACAAGGCGCTTGCCGAATTCGACTTCCAATCATTCGGATGGAGAGTCTCCGTCTGAGGATTAGGACAGAATAGATAATTCAACGGAACCATGTTCCGATTTCTCATACCTAAGTGATGAAGATATCTCACTAAATAGTTAAACAAGATTTGTTTGCAACTAGATGAAGTTATGGCAAATTAATAATTGCCTAGCAACTGAATCAACTAGACAATGACGAATCATTGTTCAGCATCGATAACTTCGTCCATGGCAATATCAAATCATCAAACGTGCAAGACAAGAGACCTCAAAAGCTATCGTCTATGTTAGATTTACAGACGAGAGAAAGGAAACAAAAACCCCGTTACACTCTGTTGCTTACTGGATACAGGAGCATCCGGTACTTTGATAGCTCAAACTTATGCTAAGAGTTTACTCATAGAAGAATAATGGGGCGTCCAAGACATTACGGACTGCTTCTATAAAGGAATTGAAAACCCCGCACGAGTGAGAGGGCAAACACTCGTGATTCCTGATTCCACGATAATAGAATTATCAGAATGGAATTTACACGTCACACAAGACTTGGGAGGCGCAAGAAGGATCATAAGTAAGTAAGCACTCTCTTCGAACCTATAAGAATCAAGTTTGATTCACTACCATGTCAATGGAGTGAACAGCATATTTTTTCCTGCGAAAATGTGCGATACGGATAGAAAGGAGAACTTCTCGCATCCCGATCCTGCAGC